CGAAAAATTCCTAATCGCTTGTTAGGAATAGGTTTAATGGAACACGGCGTTGGGCAAAGACTTACGGAATTAATAACCCAAGGGGTTCCATTCCAGGTCGGGGTGTAGACTGCAGTCCACAGATAGAAGAAGAAAATGGCCGCAATACCTCCGCCGTTCAGAGACGTGCTGGGGTTATCTTCAGGCTTGACAACGCAGATGTAGGCACCAATGACCCACATACAGAGTGATCCAGTCACGGCACCAACAAGGAGCAGATTGCGCCTTCCGAATTGATCGACCAGGAACAGGAGCCACACGAAGGTCATAGTAGCCTTAACAACACCAAAGATACCGGTCATCAGGTTGACAGTGTTAGGATTGACACCAATCTAAGGAGCAGGGGTTAGCATCGTGGATTGATCATTTAGAAATGCATTAGATGAGGCGCAGTCATACCGATCTGAAAATGGTAGGCGAGTAATAGTTGATAGCATTGATACCGGAGCCATTTTGCCAGAAGAAGAGCATGCAACCCAGCATCAGACGGTACATGACGCTCTTGTTAGTGGCAAGAGCCTGGAATGGCTTCCAGAAGCCAATACCGATAGAACTCTTTTGATCTTCAAGGGCCTGATCGATCGCAGCCACTTCTTCGGTGATGTAAATGTCATCGGCTTCCAATTGGCGGATCCAGCAAAGATTTTCCATCGCTTCGCGGCGACGGTCTTTAAGGAACAGCCAACGTGGAGATTCTTTGATCCACAAAGCACCTACGAAAAGCAGACCCGACGGAACGAGTTGAATGGCGAAGGGAATGATCCACTGCTCGTGTCCTTGGGAAACATGTTTCGCAACACCATACTGTCGTGTCTAGGTTAGCCTTGAAACACAAAGATGGGACCGAGGTGGGGGACAAGGTCCCGCGAGAGGCAGGGAGACGCACGTTAATCCAAAAACCCAACATTCCGCCGATCTGCCAGCCAAGCTCATACAGACCGACGAGCCGTCCTCGAATGGCAGGTGGCGCTAGTTCGGAAAGATAGATGGGAATGATATTCGAAGCCACGCCGGTACCCAAGCCGGACAGCACACGACCAGCATACAAAATGCCCAGCCCTCGGGCACTGTTAGCACCGAGTTGTAGTCCGGCTCCGAGGAAGAACACGGTGGCAGCAACAGCCAAACTCCATTTTCGGCCCACGAAGTGGCCGAGGGCGTATGTTCCTAGGGCGCCGAAAAAGGCACCAGCAATGAAAAGAGAGACGATATTCTCGCTAATTAGATCTTGATGTGTAGACGACATCTTGTCGATACCGAATTCCTTCTTGAAAGAGGCGAGTGTAATAGTTGTACCGATGAAGGCGCTGGTATAACCGATCATGTTGGAACCACATGATGCAATGCCACCGAGTGCATATACACGCCAGTTGTAAACGGACGTGGCCGTTGGCCGATCCTCGACAAGTGTGAGAAGGCCCATGGCTGACGAGGTGACAGCTCAAGCTGTGTGAGATTAGGATAGTGTAGAAGGTCAGAGTGAGGAGACCAAAAAAATTTTTTTTTGCTCGAAGGCAGATTGAGGAAAGGGAAAATCAAAGAGGTGCTCGAACGGGGTTCTAAGTAATGCCCGCTATCCTAATGGGCTGTGAATGTGGGAATTCCCCAAGGTATGCTCCCCACAGCAAAGGCCGCCAAAAACCCCATAGACCGGGGCAATATAATATGGGGTTCAGACGTGAGGCTACGATACGGCGAAGATTGCTCCGTACAGGTGCATAAAGATGTCCACAAATGGGAACGTTGGCCGGGGTAGCGTTTTCCCCGGACGAAACATTCAGCCGGCAAATAAGCTTTGTATCGAATCCAACGTACGGAGGATGCGATCGCCGTGAATTTCTTCTTTCTTCCTATCAACAGTGGTTTCTGGGATGCAGTAGATGGAAGACACGTTTGTGAAACGTACTTTTGCTTTTGCACCAGAGACGAGTTGTGGATTTAAACCACCTGAGTTGAATTGGGACGCCGGTGAGGCCCATCGCCCCAGCGATGGATTCTTTTCTCTCTACGGAGTACGGAGCACGGAGTACGGGGTGGTTTGGACAGGATAGCAGTGTAACCTGTACAACATAGGGAGAGACAGGCATAGTGAAATCCCGCTTGTTAAGTGAATACCCCGTGATAAGATTCCCCAGGTATTCCATGCAAAAAACATTTGACTCCCTAAAAGGGGAGAACCCTTAACCATTGGTGGAGCCGGGGTTTAGCCGAGCTCTCGGGAAGGCGGATGCTGATCTCCGTACGGAGCAGGTTGTACACCGAAGAAGCACAAACGGAAGAAGGGATGAAAGTCTATTTAATCCCTGCCGACTTCGGGACACTAACTAAAGTGAGATATCGAAAAAAAATGACAACTATGTTTGGACATATGTTGCACTGTGCTTATAGGAGGATTCCTTCAAGCATCATCACTTGTCCTTGCCTGGAAGTGGCGGCACCAGGGGGGGTACATTCCGAGGTTTGCACTAAACGTAACTCCGGGGTTTACATCGCAGGGGGCGTCAGGACCGGGGTTCCAACAAATTAAGACATGAGTGAATGTGTTGATTCAACAAAGTTACGCGGCAACGACATAATCGGGATATTGTTGCCGGTGGTGCTTTAATTCAAGAAATATACAAGCTCTTTTCGGCCCGTTTCCGGCTTGGAAGGATGCTGTGGCGTTTAGCGCCGAGCCTTTGCACAGAAATGCACTTTCGAAAACAACGAACAAAGTGCGAGCAGCCTTTACCCCAGAGAGTTATATGGAGGTACAAACCAACTCGTAGAGTAAAGGACCTCTGGCACTCACCTGTCCCGCTCATCAGCGATATCGCAGGGGAGTTCACAAAATTGTGGTTCCGAATTCACAACTTGTTTCCCCGTTGATTTTGGCATATCTGATACTCGAAGCTTGCTGTGTGCTAGTGGATGCACATCTTCCTTAACCCAAAAGATCCGCAGATGCAGTTTCACCGGAAAACCGGCAGGGGAGTACGCGGCGTGGTGGAAAAACGTATTGTGTACCATGCTCAGTTTGGCTGATCTTTCAGAAACCGGATCGATACATACCCAAGGCGGCTTGGGACAGTGCGAAAAAACCAACATCTGGTGTTTAATGACTGGTATATCTTGGGCAGCCCTATGCTCAAATTCCTTCATGTTGCTTGCCTTGTTGGCAGCAGCTTCCAAGATGAAAATCGCTGGCGCTCCCAGTTTCAATATAGCCTCATTCCTCCTGTCAGCTATGAGGCCGAGCCTTGAGCTGGTATATGCGTGTATGGTATTCACTTGTTACCCAGAGAGTGGCACCCCGGGATAGTGTTTGGCCATGCAGCTTCCGCGGCAGTTCCCAGAATTGTCGGCATAGGATTGCATTAGAATATAAAACCCTTGGCACGGCTTGCACCTAAAACTATAGATCGATGTAGGCCCAGTTTGGAAGCGACGTGAAACCTGTGCAGCATACAACATAGAGATGAGTTTTTGGGTTGGACGCTCTTTTGGACAATTAGAGCATGCTTTCATGGCTAGATCTCACTACACCATCGATACAGTCGCTGCATTGCAGGAACGTGATGCCAGTAAGCTTTCGAATTCGGGCGACATCGGGGGTTTGCATAAAGCTTCGAAGCAGCTGCACAGCAGGGCGGATGGAACTCCACTCGACGAGTGGTGCTGGATATCGAGAATACGGACGATGCTAGTGTTTTGGGAAATCGGCCTGCTGGAGGAACCTTGAGCACTATTGCGTCAAATGCAGCTTGTGTACAAATCGTCCACAAGTCAGTGTTGCTCTAATTTAGAAAATTTCCGAAGTTGGAATGAAGGGTACCTGAGGCATGAATATGGAGAATTGTTGCCTGGGGCAGAAACACGTGCCATCACCAGGGTTTCGGGGGTGTGCCCGGGGCCGTAGTTTTCGCCCGGCTTAGTTTGGAGTTGAATGGTATTTAAAATGAGGTACTCCAGTTTAGCATGAAATATGTGGCATCTATCGGTACGGAATTCTAGGGACACATAAATACATACCAGTATACTACTTTGTGCCGAGTAAACAACAATCTTAAATAAGATAAAATTATCCCACATTGACCTGGTTCTAATCATCCTTTCTAAGGAAACTCACATCCTTCGGTTATTTATTATAGCGCAAAAGCGCTCACTATAGAATAAATAAATTTCACCCTACGTCTATTTTCTCTTAAATTATATTCATGCTAGTGGATAAGAAGTTTAATTGTGTTATGGTTATTTAGTTGGGGGAGTTCGAGGCTACTTTCGATTCTTAGGAGTAGCACCACTATTGTCTGGACTATGTAACTAACTACAAGTTTTACCTCAAAATTTCGCTCCCTTCTATCTTTTCTAGGGCCTTTTCATCTCATTTTTCATAACTAAATCCTTAAGTTATTGAAGGTTTTAACATGATCGCGGCTACATACAATGTAGTCGTAGGTAATTTGAGTAAGAAAAGTAGAAAGGCACCAAGTAATAGAGAAGTTGGCAACTACCTTTGTGATAAGAAGGTGGTAATGTCATGAAATGCATGAGGCACACATGAACTCTTGGCTGCGGCCTCAGGCAGCCAACGCCCTAGGAGTTCAGGGCAACCCCTCTGGTATGCCAACACACCTTGGGAGCTTTCCAAGTCACGCTATGCCAACACGAACCGCTTGCATCTCTTTGGGCTTCAAACATTTTATAGATAAAGAGTGGCCGACTGTATCTGGAATTTTGTGGACACACCGTCTTCCGGATAATGACCACAGCTAAAAGCGAGGCATCATTTCCAGGCAAGTTTTATCGGTTGAAGATATGCGACTATCAGCGCGTGCCTAGTAATTCGAAACAGAACGGCGCGTGAAGATCTAGTGTGTTTCCCTAGATTGTAAAGTGCTATATGAGCTAACCCTGTCCTGATAGGCCAGCAGAAAAGCAAACACAAGAAGAATTAATTGAAGGCCTTGTCACTCATCAAGATGGAGAGCCGAGCGTCTCTCGGCTCTATCCAGAAGGCCGTCTGGGACGGGCGCTTGCCACTGGAGATTGTCCTAGCTTCATCAGAAAGTCGAACCTTTGACAAGACGGATCCTTATCTTGTATGTCTGTTCTTTAAGCACGCTAGATGTGCTCAAATGCTGACCTCCGTTGCTAGATCGCATTTCCGCGCATTTCATATCTTCCCTCGTTGCTACCCAAGCTTCGCGCTTTCTTCTCACATTTTTTGATAGAGCCAAATTCCCAGTCTCATGATGGCTGGTTTGAGTTTGAGGGTGTGCCTCTGAAGTGGCACTACCCAGTCGGGCTGTTATTTGACCTTTATGCAGGAGCAGACCCCGCCTCAAAGACCCCTACGAGGAGTAACGACTCTCCCGAGAGTGGGTCATCGCTGCCCTGGCGTCTGATAGTGCACTTTAGCGACTGGCCAAATGACCTTGTTCGGCTTGATGCTGATGGAATGGTCATGAACGACGCCTTCATAAACAGTGTGAAGGAGGCGGATTTCCTACGAAACGGTACAGCTAAAGGCATCATGAGTCTCTCAAAAAAAGACTCATCGGGTCTTTGGAATGCCGTACAAAAGCGTAAGTCAGACATTCTGTGTAGAAACTTCTCTACTGCGTCGATGATACAGACCATTCTAACGCGAAGAAACACAGTCGATCTTGTTTCCTTCCAGCGGATTTCAAATATACTTCTTCCTCAGCTCTCACAACCGTTCCGCAATGTCCCGATACGGATTTTTCTACCTCTCCCACTAGATGCCGAGTCTTCTTCGCTTAAAGTGGTACAATCGCCACTTCCTCCCTCAATTCCAGTATTGAGCATGCAGTCAAGTCAGATGTCGAGCTCGCGGAGTGCTTCTACCCTCCAGCCTCAAACGGTTGGGACTGTTTTGCACACATTGCTACCGAATCTATTTCCCAGTCGGAGAACTCCTGTCCTTGCGAAGCCCGTACTACACGGTACTGTGGTACCCATGTCTGCTCCAATTGAGGAGGTTGTGAGGAGCTCTGCTTACGGAGACGGATGGGCATATCTCGTCGTTCGGATGATAGGATGACAGAACATAAATCAAGAACTTTCGAAGAAATTTAAATACAAATCGTATTTCAAGGGTGCCAACCACTTTGCGAGATAGGCATGAACCGTACTCGACTATGAGCCAGCATTGTGTGCCCGACCTAAGTGTATTCATTTTACTTCTTTGCGACGATCTTGAGAACCACCTCAAACAGCGAGGTCCTTGCACAAGAAGATATACAAGTGGACCGTGGAGTATATCTACGAAATTTATTGGGATAGCATGTTACCAATGAGAGGAAAAGTTCTCCACTTTGAAAAAAACTGTTTATTTTCCCAACTATCTATTCTGTAACCAGATGCAACTGTACTAATCAAGGGGTATCAGTCCCATCGTCATGCGACGATGCGTCTTGTGAACTTGCCCAAAGGGGCAACAAAAGAAATACGTATATGCCAAAAAAAGTGCCAGAGCCATGACATGACACCTAGGTACTTCCTTCGGCGATGATGAGGGCCGTAGCACACCAAAAAAACAGACAAATCGTAAGAGTACACATGTGCAAAGAGCTGAAAATAGCGCGGCAAACAAAAAAAAAACAAACGCTCAAATCACGTTTCCATTGACAACCATATCATCGCCACCGTCCCTACCCTTCTTCAGAGCCTTGGCAAGCATAAGCTCACGCATCCAGTCGATGCGCTCCTCACGAGACTTGACAGCGAAGTGGTGGCTTTTGACAGCATTGTTCCCAAATAGTGCCTTCTTCTCACTCTCCTTTGTGGCTGGAATAAGTGAGAAAGCAAAAGCAGTACCATCACGGCCTTTAATGGTGTTGTTTCCATTACGCAGGATCGAGCGCTTGAATGCAGCTGTCAGCTTGGAGCTTGGAGCCAGCGACGAGCAAGCGACGGCATATTCGTCGACTTCAATATTGTCCAAGGCACGTGAGATGCGGTGCGCATCGCGCTCGTCCTTGTGCATGGCCAGATTGGTGCCGCGGAGCGTGAAGTGTGCATCGGACCACTCGTGCCTGAGCAGGCGTGTGGTCTTGCGCTTCTTCATGTATCCCGTATGGGTAACTTCTGGGTCAAATGCCAGAGATGACAGCGACCCGCTGTGGCCAAGTTGTTTCACGCGGGGGCTTCGAATCAGGTCTTCTGGAACATCAATCGGGGTCAGAGGCTTGTCCTCGTTCACCTGGCGGAGGGGAACAACATCACGAGGACAAGTCGAAGTGCTCCGTGCAAGGTAATTACCATCCCGTAGAGGAAGATCATTACTGGGGTGGGTAGAGGTGCTCTGTGCAAGGGAATTGGTATCACGGTACGGGGGGAACAAGGTTCCGTACTGCATGCCTGGGGGCACAGATTGAGAGAGATCACGGCAGATCGGTTCACTAGGGATTGCAGTTGTAGGGACATCGACTTCGGAGAACGGTGTGGCTTGGCGGTAGGTCTCAATTGCTTGTGTTTGATGGGCGTGACTGAATGGGCCAAATTGCTGAACGGCAGTGGGGGAGCCATTTTGATGAGTGGGAGTGAAGTATCTGTTGGTGGTTACAGCGGTTGTCATATCTTCCGTGATTGGACTCGTCGGGATCGTAAGCTTCGGAAGATTGCGCAGATTTGCGGCCATGGAGTTTGACTGGGCAGTTGGTGGGGAGAAATTCTCAAACTCATCTGCCAGTGGAAGGTTACAGGTCTCCAGCCCAGGGTTCCCAGGGTTGGGGAAGTCGTCAACATGTTGGTGTCTGAGGAAGTTTCGGATTGTTTCTTGTGGATCCAAGCGCTCTACTTCGATCAGAGCCGCCTCGGAGAGTCTTGGTCCAGTCCGAGGGCCAAAGATGTCCGAGGAAGCCACCACTGAGAGCTCGGCCTCGGACATGGGTCGGAGAAGATTTCTCGCGGTGTCAGGATTTCCAGGGCTACCTACAAAGATAGCACCCCCCTGGAGATCACTCCCTTGGAAATCTGCGCCAGGGTACTCTGTAGCAAGCTTCTCCAGGCGCCTCTGCTGTTTCTGCTGTAGTTTCTTAAACTTGCTGCAATTTTTGCCTTTGGAGCACCTGTGGGGCTTTGGGTAAAATTCCTCGATGCCTACAATTGAAACAGACTCTACGGTTGCAATTTGATCCCCACTCTGTCCAGAGGCATGTGAAGAGAGAACTTCACCATTTGGTGAAATATACATTGTGTAGGATTGGCCTGTAGGAGATTTTCTTCTGGGAGCGAACTTCTGGGGGACAAAGCCCCGGAGGGTGAACGATTCAAGAGATCTTCTCTCGTTGGAAGACGCCTCCTCAGATGGAAACTGAGACGGGGTTTCTGGAATTGGCCTTGTCTGCATGTTTTCCTTGAGGTATTTGATCGAGTTGAAGATCTTGCGACGTTTGCCCATAGATTGGATTAGGAGCTGGTCCTTGAGTTCATCCTCTGTCAAGGTCATCAGAATGTCGCCAGTGATATCATTTCTGATGAACGTATCCCGGACGTCATCAGCGTATCCACCAATGAATAGCCAGTGAGCAACCTGGCTAGGATCCCAGTTCCTGATCTCCTCCTGTGAAAGATGAGACACATCAGGATTTGGTGGGAAAGCCTTCGGTGTCTTGGGAGACAACAAATATGGGTTGGAGAACTCGGCCTGATACTGGTTGACGAACTCTGGCCGATGTGGGTTGATGAACTCAGGCTGCATAAGTGACGGCTCAAAATCGATCGTAGGTGACGGTGCGAGATAGAACTCAACATCTACAGTTGAACCTCTAGGACTTCTGAACAAATCAGGACCCGAGGGACCGGCAATCAATTCTTTGCTTGATCGAAAGGCAGGTAGGTTTCTTGGAAGGAGATCTGGAGTCGGTAGCTCAGGACTCGAAAGAGTAGTGTTGCTCCCGTAACTGAGCTGGTTGTTTCATGCCATATTAGGTTTCATCTTTGCTGATACAAGGATGAGGGCACTTACCGATTGCATACTCTGCCGGGGAGACTCGCCCCAGTCGCCGCTCTCAGAATCCGTGTCATCGAACAAGGTTGTCCCCGAGTTAGGGCGTCGTTTTTCAACAGTCTTTTTGGGATAGAACCACTCGTGGTTTGTGGTGTCCACCCCAGCCGGTACTACCCTTCGCCGAGCGGCCAGTGATGAATTTGAAATCTAAAATGGTTAATAGGGATCATGTCATTTCCCTCGCATCAAAACTCACCATATCGTTAATCGTAAGTTTGCTAATCTCCAAGATGTAGTAAAATTAAAAATGAAATGTGTTGTTATTAGTGGTTCCCGCACAGCAGTGAACCAAACTAGATACGATGAAATGAAAGCAAGGAAATCGAAAAAAGACTCGGTGTGGGTTATCCAGAACTGGGAGATCCAACAGAAGTGTGTGACACGCGGGACAGTTGAGGTATAAAAAGTCCGCACGGTTTGCTTCGACAATAATTATCCTTGAAACCCTGTAGCGCTGGGAAACAATGATCTAGCCAACCCGAACCGCTCAACGGGATGTACTTTCCATTTGATGCGACGTTGGTGAAACTCAGCGCGTAAGTAAAAGTCGGTAGCAGAGAACCAAGACGATTGGTTGGGAGCAGGGGTTCAAGGGCATATGTGATTGTGATACGAAGTGATCCACTTGCAGTAGTTTCAGTTGAGATGCAAGCACCTCGTGCTAGCATTGAATTGGCATCGTCCAACTACAACTCATTACCACAATTATTTTTGAAAACACAGCGGCCTAAACTTGGACGTTCACTGGCTTTCAGGATGCGCATTTCTCTAAAGCGAGCACATTGCCGAAGGTTGTGCAGAGAGTGAAGATGTGACTGGAGTGCAGTTAGCGCCTATGCAAGCACCCAGTTCGCACCTATAAGAATCCGATGTAGTGTGACGACCACACATCAACCCTTAATTAGCGCTACATCTTTCTCTTGGGAGTGTACACTCTCACTCATGGTTACCATATTTGATTGTGATTCAATTCCACGAGTCATGTCCCTAGTTTCTTTCTCCACGTTGCTGGGATTTCGCTTGCCAACGGCGCTCCGTTACCAATCCTTGAAATGATGCCCAGTACCTTTCTTTTATTTTATTCTTTTGATTTGGGACTAGTGGCTCAGTGGCTTGAAAATCGCACACGTTTTTCGTACGCCCGTCTAAGTATTCGTTGACATAATGTCAGCGTTGGGGGCGATTCGAATGATCTGTGTACGGGCATGCTCATTAAACCCGTGCCCTTTTCGAAAGATTTGATGACAATGATTCAGATTGGCATGAAGAAGATAGAAATGGGGTAGATTAATTGTTTCACCTCCCGAAAACCCTAACCCTAGGAGGGGGGGGGGTAATGCGAACACAACGCTGCTGGTCAATTTCCGAACATTTCCAGCCTTTGAATTCTCTCACAGCTGTGCCAATTATGATTTTTAGGTTCTAAACCCCCCCAAGATAGCCAGGGTGAGGAGGTTGGGATGTGCCATGTGCTGCATATTCCTCGGCCTGCATTGGTAAATTAGCTGCAGTTGTTCATGTGGAAGAGATCGACGCCATAAATTGCCAGGTTACTACGAAAAAAAAAAGAAAAGAAATCCTCCGTACCATGATTTCGATCCTGTTAGTCAGCGGTGATCCCATTTCTGTACGTACTTCATAGGATCGCGTACATCCTAGTGTCAACGATCTCAAAAACCAAACATATTATTATTGGGGATAAAATCATGACAGCCAACCCGATGAACTCCGAACAAAATGAAAAGTCGAGATTGTCGAGCATGGCCGCATTGGACTTCGGTGGCAGCAAACATGTGAGGGCGGCCCAGGAAGTAGTCGGATATCTACAGACATATATTCCATACTCTATCGTGTTAATTTGAAACCTGTCGGCAGTGCTAAAACAGACCAGGAGCTTTATCTTGGAAAAGCATTGCAAGATCCAATTTAAAGCAAATATTCGCAACCTAGATCAATCTGGCAAATTTGCGATCACTGCTGACTTGATTGGAATAGAAGCATTCCCAAACCCTCAATTGTAAGAACATAAACTACAAAAGAGGATTGACAGTCCCACCTGCGGTCTGCTTATGTACGTGCTCTTGCCACTGATTTGAGTGACCTGGATCGTTTATGTAAGAAATACACAATGTTACAGAGTACACATCATAGTTGTATCTATAACCCAGGAGAACGGAAGCCGACATCATGATGAGAGATGTCATATATGTCACTTGATATGGATGCCTTTTATGGACAATGGGGATCACAAGCTACTCGGGTGCTTTATAGCTGAAATGTGGCTGTCAATCTTCCGTCTGAATACCAGTAAAATAACTGGTCAATAGATTATTATACAGACCGTCGAATTGAAACCCAAGAACCATGTCGCACACAAACTTGATCTCATTATTCCCTGATAACTAGAGCCCCATGTGGATTAGAGGCATTTTAGAATTCAGCCTACAGGTGTAGTCTGTGATGGGTTAATTTGTGCAATAGTCAAAGGTACGAGGAGTTTCCTCAATGTCCAGTTTTACTTCAAGATGTATGGATTGAAAACTTCCAACAGGCCGAGGGTTGCTTTAAATGGTTGGAAATGCCAACGTGTGAGGAATTTGAATTTCTACTCCTGATATTCTGTAAGCATGTTGGCTGTAATAAGGGGTTGATCAATCATTATTTCTTCTGCTCACAAGTCACAAGAGCCAAGCTGCAGCCGGCCGTTGCTGATGGGTATTTCCCACAAGGGAAGAAAGCAACTTGGCATTCTAGCATTTTGAGCCGAGTTTGACAACGCAAAGGCTATACCAATTGAAGTTCGATGTTATGGACTAATTGCGCTGTTTTGGGACCTGGATCGATCTCGGTCGAGGGTTATTAATAGTAAATTGATTCAAAAAAGTAGACGCTCAAGGTTGATTTGACCCAAAAGCAATGATTTGACCGTACCCTATAGTTGGACGCAACTAAAGAATAGGGTAAATTGACTCACATTGTGCCGAAGGTGGGCGGATAAATGTTGCTAATTAAGGGAGTGTCCAAGGATAAATGCACGCTAAATGAAAAACAAACTTTGGAAAAAAGGACGCTAAGAGTCTTATCACATCCCCCTCAATTCAGCAGCATTGTGGGCATGGGCATACTCCACTCCGTAGTCATACCCCAGTCATACCCTGAGCAATTTTCGAATCCTAGTTTGTTTGGCCAGTCATGATGCAAGGATCGAAAGCTTGGCTTGCTGCAGTAGTGTCACACTGCTCATGTTCCTTCACTTCAAGTCACCCGTGATCTACCAGCTTTTTTAGAGGTGATTGATCTCAGTCATAATTTACAATGAATTCCGCGGTCATGCTTTTACTGAATTTGTGCGAATTTGTCCGGCTTTTTTTTCTGAATTTAGCCACTTGACGAAATTTATGCCGGCCCTGTTGCTCGTCACATCTCACCCCCGCTTGCAGCCTTCGTTCCTCGCAGGGCAAGGGCTTTTGTGACAGTGGCTTTGACTGCGAGTTAACTCAACATATCACTCAGTTAGTTGTGTAAAAGGATCTAAATACCAACAAGCAACTCTGACTGTTGGGTTGGACTCCGAGACTATGGCACGGGGAGAAGGGACCGGGAACCAACTCGAAAACCGAAATTTAACCAGGTCCAATGAGTTATCTGCAGCCACCCATGTTACGGAGTAGAGGGCACAGAATCCCAGCCCGAAAGAAAGATCTCCATCCAGTCCTTCGAGGAACTTGGACGTGGAGGTGCGTGCGCCAACGCCGCCATGCGACCTCAAGTCACAAAACAACGGAGCTAATTGTCCCAAATTTAGTCTCAAAATACTGGATTGCAACATTTACCACCGATTCTGCACCTCTCGTTGGCTGCCTATGTCTGTTGGCTTCCCAGCCCAGGAAAATGCTACGATGATCCAACCCCAACTCGTGCTGATGACTCTCAAATTATCCCGATCTTGCATCCAATCTATGAATTGTCCAGGTTGGTTCTAAAATAGAAACACCCGCTTCGGTTTCCGCAAGCTATCATGAGTTTTAAAGCATCGCTAACCCCACGATTTTAGTTCCTCATCCTCATCATCTTTCTGACAGTTGCTCAGTCAACCTCCCTTTCTTTTACTTCTATCGTGATAGACTACAAAGCCTGCTGGTTCAGCTTTGCCACAGTACCTCTCATCTGCAATTGATTCCAGTCTTTTGATTGACGATCACCGCCGTCGATCGTTCAGCGGTCATCAGATTTCAACATGCCGATCTCGAAGAATTCCTCTGCCTCTGCTACTAAGCCTCTTGCTTGCGCGAATCTGCCACTACCTCAGAGCACCCCTCCCACACATGGAAATAGAGCAAATGGTCGGCTGCACAAGCGATCCCGGTCTGGTATGCGATCCGCTCTTATCTTTGCGCGCTGTCCCCAAAGTCATCCCGATGAACTATACTAATTCTAAAAGGCTGCTTCACATGCCGCCTACGGCGGAAGAAGTGTGATGAGAACCATCCTGCCTGCACCGCCTGCATCAATCTTAATGTCCGATGCGAATACAAACGCCCAATTTGGTGGGGAAATGCGGAGCAACGAAGAGCCCAGAAGGAGCGCATCAAAAACAGGATCAAGCAAACCAAGATGCTAGAGCGAAACGGTAACTTCTCAGGTATGTACTGATCTACTTTAGACTTCTCATACATTTCGACTAACGTCTGGGACACTCTAGACCCGCTAACTCGCCATCGCCACATGTCTGCGGCATCACCAACCTCACCTGTGCACGAACATGGTCGCCCTAGGTGCAACGAGACCTATGATATTTTTTCATCCCAGCTGCCAACCCCTGGATTGGGAAGCGCTCCTCGTGGACCTTACGTGCCTTCCTATGAGGTCGATGTGCGAACCGAGCGACAGACATTTATCAACGATGTGCCTATGCGTCATGACTCTTCGACATCAACATTCAGTGCATTTGCACCTCCCCGGCTCAGTGCTCCGATGCCAACTTTTTCTGGCGACGAATGGTTTAGAGATGAGTATTTTGCACAAGCCTCGGCATTTAATGGTACCCATCCGGGGAGTATCAACCCTAGTCTCGATCACACACGCACATTGTTACAAAGCAATATTGTTGTAAGCGACCATGACCAGCCACTCCTCGATCATTTTATCCACAATGTGCTGCGCCAGATCTTCCCCGTTCTGGAAGCTCATCAAAAAGGCCACTTGCGCGCGCAATCAATTCTGCGCGCTCTGGAAACAAACAAGTGCTATCTTCACTGTTGTCTGAGTGTCGCTGCTATCCACCTCAAGACCACCGAAGGATTGGTTGGTGAGCAAATTGACCATGATATCATGCGGCACCGTTATGAAGCCATCTCTCAACTATGTCAAGCTCTGGGAGATGATGTTAACCACGATGAGATTCTGGATGCGACTCTTGCGATGATCCTCTTTCATTGCGCCGTTGGCCCTTCCGATGACTATCTTCCTGACATTCCGTGGTTTGATCATTTCCAGGCCGCATCAAATCTTGTAACGAGACTTGAACTTCCCTCCGCAATAGTTGAGGACCCCAGCGGATACCTGGTTCCTCCATTCAGCATGAGCTTGACTACTTGGATTGACATACTCGGCTCAACAATGGTTGGCAAGTCTCCCGACTTTGCTCATCAGTATCGATCAAAGCACTTGGGTGGAGCGCCCTCTGGCTTACGCGAGCTGATGGGATGCGATGACCGGATCATGTATCTCATCTCTGAGATTGCCTGCCTTGACTCTCTAAAGAATGAAGGTCGTATCGATGACTTGGCCGTCTGTTCTCATGCTAAGGCGCTGGAAGAACAACTCGAGTACACACAGCCCGCTGACCCTACGCTGGAGAACCCATTCTCACCTGCAACTGGAGCCATTCGCCCTGAAGCCCTTACCAAGACAATATCTCACGTCTTCCGGACCGCATCCCGGATCTATCTTTGTAGCATTGTGCCCGGCTTCGATCGCAACCAAGCTAGCATCGAGGGCTTGATCACCGCAGTAACAGACGCGCTCCAATTTATTCCTGCTGGTCCCCATGGCTACGATCGCTCTCTTGTCTGGCCACTGCTCATGACCGGCGTGTTTTCTAGACCATCGAGTTCCTTCCGATCCGTTATCGCCGGTCGCGCTGATGCGATGGGTGATCACGGTGACCTCGGTAGTTTCGGCCGCATGTACCGTCTCCTGCAAGAGGTGTGGCGTCTGACAGACGAACCACTCAATTCCTTTCAAGGCTTTCCTGGAGACAACTCCTACAACTCCTCGCTTACCAGTCCTATTTCCAGACTGGACGGCTCCAAATCCCCCTCTGGTGCTGGCGCCACTTTGGGTGGACGGGAAATTAAAAAGCAAGAAGTCCACTGGAAGGAAATCATGAAGCGAAATAACTGGCACTATCTCCTTATTTAATAGTTGTGTCTTGTTTGGTTTTTTTTTTCTTTCATTCATTCCACTTCTCACGAGGTTGATTCTCGCGCTGGCTCGCCACTACCTAAATGGTAAAAAGATACCCCACTTCGCGACCAGACGTTATTTTTCTTTTGGTATACGAAATAATTTCACATCTCAAACCCTTGGGTTTTGTTTGATTTCTTCTATGTTGCACTCTGGGCTGGTATAAGTGCTTTCCCCTTGTCATTTAAGATCCGGATGCAGCTCAAAATTCCAAAAAAATTTAATCCAAATGTGATTTCTTAGTTTGACTCAAGTCCTGAATCGAGTTCGTTAGAGCTTGATCGACTTGGGCCCATGAAGGACAAACCTAGTAGTATTCTCAAACTTCAAAGAAGTCAGCACAATTGATCATAAACCCCAGAGTCTGTTGAGAGTGTCCAAGCTGAGAGTTGGAACAGTACTTCTCAACTACTTACCTGTTGTAATCTCCTGAAAAGATTAACCTGCAACTTTCTCTCGGCGCAAAAATGCTTTAGCTTGTTGCATTCGAGGTATGATTACCCCACGGTTATATATATCATCCTCTGGTTCTTCCTAGAAGCTCGATAGGGAATTCCGGCATTTGAAGTAGAGGGCGCATCTATGTTTATTACCTATGCAAACCGATGGCACGCACGAAGAATAGAGCCGATTGACTAGAATTACATGATTGTTTCGGATCCTGCACCATGATATCGAAGTTTCGACCACTGCTTTTCAAATTGTCTCTTGGTGCATCTACAATGAAGCAAAGCGCTTATTGCTTTACCAATGCAGGCAGATTAAGGGAAAAGTCCAAACTCCCCCTTATAGGAATGCCACAGCGGCAATGAACATAAGCATAGCACAGCGTGTAGGTTCACGTAGTAATAAAAATTGAAATTGAGATGGTTTCACCAGTCCACCCAAATGAAAAAGTGAATAAGTTGGACAAGTGACGACAAAAGATGCACAACATCGTCTCTCCAACTACGAACTTGGCGAGAAATTCCATCGACTCCGATTTTGAGGCTTTCACATCTTGATTTTTATCACCATTGACGCCAAGATTATAACCAATCAACCTGCATTTTTTTTTGCACTCTGATATGGCCTCATATCCGCCCACAGTAGCTCGGTGTCAAGAGCTTTCCCTAGCAACAATTTGGGAGGGCAAATGTGAACAATGTCCCTGTGATAGACCTTAGCCTGTATGGAAATTTCTGAGGCTATTAATATCATGCAGTTTCTGAAAAAATGTGGAGGCAGGAAACCTCCTCATAGATCTAGTAAAACATACGAATGATTGGACCAAGTGTTTAGATTGCACATGTCAAACTAAGACCCCTGTTCGATCGTCTAGCTCAGAAGAAAAGAACCAATGGTGGTGTTTAGATCACCGCACTATGCTAGAGCCATAATAGGAAGTCTTCACATCTCAAACTAAGATACCCCTTAAAGCGAACCGCCAGCAAAGCTGCAGGCTGTGCGCGCCAAGGCTGGATGAACCAGAGCGTGGTACAGAGAAAATAGTGGCTCAGGGGTAGGGCATCGCCTAGGACAACAACCGCTCTCTACGGCGGCTCATGGTACATGGCGTAAGGAGTCTTCTGATTCAGATGGCGCGCGTCAGCGATGTTTGTGTTACTTGTGCGTAGCTTTGCATTTCTGCAGCGGGTATGGAAGAGATCCGAGGAACAGCAAAATTGAAAGTTATAAAAAGGTGAAGATATGATCCTGTTTTAATCAAGAGACATCGTTCCACGGTTTCTTCTCGGTTCACCTGAATACTCACATTTTCTTGGCCTTTACCGGTCGAGTCTTCATCTCCTTGGGTTACCCTGTTTGCATCAATTGTCACAAGAACAAAACAATTCTTCTTTGGAAAACATTGACGATATCCTTTTTTGGGGGGCCCCTCGTTAAAAAAGCACAAAAATAGTAAGTCTGAGTCCCACTGCCACACTGTTGCCGCCGGTGTCGAAGGATTTGGGGCTCAGATGGGGCCCCGTTCGGCCTCGAGCCCTTGTTCAGCCTTTGTAACTTACATGAAATATTACAGGCCGGTTATTTTACAGTTCCAAACGTGAAAATACCTGTCTCGCCCCACTGTGCTAGGATCATCTGTCTGCCTTGCTTATTTAGATAAAACAGTCTCTCCGCGTCCTTTCGTTTTTGCTGCTAGCTAGCACTTTCTTCTGTTCTGAGTCTCTTTACTATTGCTTCGGGCCTTGTCTTTATCTGTTGATCGAATTTTGTTTGTTTTTTTTTTCATCTTCCTTATCTTGTCTGCTCTCAACTATATCTCCAGCGGCCCTGCCCATCTCCCTCTACCTACTTCCTCAACCTGCTATTTTGATTCTCACACGTCTGTCAAAATTACTCAGTTGCTATCATTACGACCTTGTCGAGATGCCGAGTGTTAAACCCATCCTTCCTCCTCTCAAAACGCCAAAGACTGAGATTTTCCCATCGCAACTTCACAATGGATCCAGTGTTTCCGACTACATCAAGCGGGAGGATCAGTCGACTCCTATTACACCCCCGACAGCCTACACGGAATTTCTCAAGGCCCTCACACCCGTCTTCACCGGCCCTATGAGTGCTGGACTCGGCTTTCCCAAGTATGACAAAGCCTCCACCACTACGTCACCCACCTCTCAACCCGCGAGCGCATTCAGTGGGTCGACGTTCAGCGATTTGGTCAGATCCCCGACTATATCTTTGCCACCACCTACCCCAAACTCGGCGGCACCATCTCGAAAGAGTTTCCATGGTCGCCGCCTTCGCATCCAATCGTCGCTAAAGTTCTCGCCGAGCTCGGACTCCCCCCGAAGCGCAACGCCCTGGAGCGCAGCGACACCTAAGAGTGCGACGACTCTTCGGTCACCCTTCTTGCCGTCAGACTGGACTTTACGCTATTACGATTCGCCCCGCAGTGCGAAGCCTGTTAGCGTGAAGCAGGTTGTAACGCGTACAGTGACCTACAAACGTACTCAGCTTGAAGCCCCGCCGAAGGGAAAGCGGCGCAAGTGTCGGGAAGCCAAGGAAGTTGATTGAATTGTTGGGCTTACGAACTACTCTGTTTGATTCATGCATTTGGCAAGTCGGCGATTTTAGCGTGGGGGCTGGGTCCGGCGTTGCGAGGGCACATTTTCTTTTGTTCAAAATCATATACTATAAGCCTGGCGCTTTATTGTCTTGTTTGATTCTGTTTCTTGGTGTCGCTTAAGCCTGCCCCCGAGGCGGTAATTAGACGAATTCGTTTTGTGGCAACTTGGGAACACACCACTGCACTACTCGTGGCTAGGGTCCCATTGGACATCGGTACCTATGGGGGCCCTTCCTCACACCGACAGTTGAATCCGAGGAATCACTGCTTTGCGCCTGATTAGTACTTGATAGTCGAAGACCTTTTATATTTAACTTGCATCGTCTGTTCATCGTCATTTTGATTTCGTTGTAACTCCCTGAACTGAAAAATGCTTTCTCTTCTCTGGCCTTTTCCCACCTGCGTAGCTCGGGACCATTCTTGTATCAATGCGCACTTTCTGCCCAAGTGTACCTAGTCTACCCTGTCGTCAGATTAGCCTCGAAGTATTAAATATGTCAAGTCATTCAAGACACTGTCGAATCGGAACAAGGAAGTGGCTTTTAAGTCTCCAGATGTAGCGGCTTAGCCAACAAAGAATTCTTGACCGGATAGGACGATATTCGACAAACGTCCGCTTTGGCCACGCGGAGACATGGATGATAAATCCTGGCGAATGGAACCAACAACAATCGTGATATCCGCACCTTGAACACGCGCCTTGTGTTGGCGCTACCCCCATTTCTCCCAACATGCATTCCACCACGTGTGACCCGTGCAAGAGGCTCTTTTTTCAAAGGTCGATTTGTATGAGCCTCACTCCAAGATTCAATATACAAAAGTACTTTGTCCACACAATTTTTTTTTCTTGGTTGCGATTACCCAAATCTGGAGGATTGTGAGTAAACGTGAGACGCCCGTCTATCATGTAAAGGACATCCTACTCTAATGGCGCTACGGTTTCTATTTCTGAACAAAGGATCTGGGCGAGGCTAAGCAAGTTATTATTTTAGCCCCATTACTACGGAGTACCAATCGCATATGTGGCGGTCAAAGGATGCTGTACAAATCCATAGATAGCCCCAAATAATACAGTAGCTGTTTCTGAGCTCACTTCTCCAATTCTTTGACTTGATGAGTGCTTCGTAGTTGAAATGCAAACAAAACTAAGGTCCCGTCAGCCTGGATGCCCGTCTACGTTGTCAAAAGAATCCTGACCCGTGTGGCTTCTTTTCCAACAGAGAGACCCTTTTATTCTATAACACGATAGGGTCCCAGTCTCTATCCAATTAGTCTTTATTCGGATTGATACATCATCCCCTCGGTCTACTCGGAAATGCCCAAGTACTAAATAACATGCAAAAGACTCCGAGGCTAGGCGGTAACATTGATATGTGGTTACAACTAGTTATTACCAATTACAGGACGTAATATTACCACGTACAGCCAGTACTGGTGTATGCAAGGATGGGCCAGATTTCCTACCTTGTAGTAGTTCACGAATGCATCATAGCACTAATGCGGAAGATCCAGCCTTCTCTTCACTGTCCATGCAGGCAGCGAGAGCTTGCAATTCTGCATTTGCAGAATTGTCCAGTAAGCAAGCAGAACAAGAGGGTTCACACTTCACTCTGCAAATATGAACACTGAGTACATTTGTCATGTGGACAACTGGGGCGTGACGGTGCTAATAACGCCGCTGATTGGGCCACATAGCGCCTCCTGTATTTCAAATTGTCATTGAAGAATTGTAGACCAGGGATTAAGTCGCTCTTTAATCTGCTAGATGGCGCTCTTCCCCTGTCCTACCTCTTCTGTTTCAGGTGCACCCCTTAGATATGAAGCACACTAGTGCTTTTTTCTCTAATCGAACACATTGTACATTGTTGAATATAGACTTGCTGTAATACAACAAAAGAGGTGAAGGTAACACGTAGTTAGGTAGGTGGCCATGGGAGTTGTACCAACCGACATTACCTGAAAGTAAAAAAAAACCAATACACAAACACCATTCGAAGGTTCATTAAGACAAAAAACTGGAGGACTAATGACACTTTTTTAAAGATTCGGGTTTATTTGCTCTCTGGGACCATCATCTCTGACTTTCCATGACCCTATTGGGTGTTTACATTGGTTCTTCCTCGAGGTATCATCACGAAGGACCCAAAACCGAATTAACGTACCGCTCACATCCCTGGCATTCTAGCCAATCAGTGATATCAAGGAGGGGGTACCGAGGATGTGGTAGATGCAATTAAGCGCTGGCGCTATACCTATCTTGTACCGCAAAAGAACGGAACGCCGGGGATTCAGTGTTGGCCCACTAGCGCTTGGACACTAGTGATTCGTGGTTGTTAATTGGTCTGCGGAGTGTATCGCATGCATGTTGCTGACAGCTAGGTGACGTGGTTTAGGTCAGTCTTACAACACGGGTTCTTAGGCGACGACTTGTTTAGGCCGAGAATACACTTGTAGGATACTCAAGGATTATGCGGGTTCCCAAATGACTTTCTTTTCGCGCTATGGGCAAATTTATGTGATCTCTTCAAGTACAGGACATAAATTGAAAGATGAGTTTTCTATTGGAGAGAATCGTCCAATATGAATTTACTCTACTGGAGAAGATCTATGGCTTCAAGCCAACGACTGTCGGGGAAAAGAGGTATAGATTCCCATTTACGTTGAAATCGCACGATGTAAACCCCATTGGAAAATAGTAAAGAGGGGCAGATCATCACAGTTCTGTATTCTCATTTTTGTGTGGGGCTGCTGGAAACCAAATCAGACTTACGAGGTCTCTGCAAGGCCAAATATAGAAGAAAGACAGTGAGGGGAGGAGGGGTATGCATATTTCCTTTCCATGCAGTGTGATATCCCCTGACCCGTATCCCGTGTGCTATTTCTAAATTCCTTGGTTCTATTCATAGAACTGTATGCCACATGCATGTACTGCTTTTTTTAAAGCTCAAAATCAACAGGGATGTTATATTTTTAGCACCTAAAAATCATGTAGAGCATGTGCGCTTGAACATCAAAGTATCAAAAGTTTTTTTGGGTGCAATGGCAATAGATATCCAGCCAATAATCAAATCTTCGCACGATTCATTAACTAAGCCCTTATTCAATCTTTTCTTCTACTTGAACGACTCCATTCTAGTGATCTAATATATGCAACCCCGATTGCTCAAATGTTCAGAGCAGAGACTAACGTTGGTAAGCACCAACATGTCCCTCAACCCAATATCGGGTCTGTACTTCGTATGGTTTCTTTACACGAAGAAGTTCCCACAAAATGTGAGGGGTATGTATTTAACTGCCTGTGCTCCACCTTCTGGTCCGTGTTTTGTGGCCCCGAGCTATACATCTCTTCCAATGAGAAGCTGGAAGAGCACCAGATCTCACTATCCTGCACTCTACTGATCATAATCAAGACAATGTGAGCCATCAAATTCTAATAACAGCTCTTATTAGCGCCTACGTCTTCTATTTTGGGACGTCGCCGTCGCCTTGGGCACCATATGCCATCGCCGACCACACCGTTCATAGATACTAACCTCCAGCAACCAAGGAAATCCAGCGGCAATCACAAAGCGCTTAGGCCAGGTTCCTATTGACCTCATATATACTTTCTACCAAGGGGCCATGAAGCCTCAATTCAGCTGGCCGTTTTCTGCAAGATAGAAGCTCTCGATCCCAGGTCTAGGATTGATTTTAGGACATAAACCTTCATTGATGCTGCTTCGATTCGTTTACCTTGCTGCCTTGAGCAAAGTGCCACTACATGGTTTTTCCTATCGGCCCCATACGAACCTTGCTAATCCCGACCTTGCATAGGGCTTTTACGCCATACATACCTGTTCTTCACGTCCTGCTATCTCATCCCCCTATGTTTTTGTCTGTTTGTATGATACTGTATGATACCTAGGTCTGTCTTTGTACGAAAACACGGATATAATTTTCTCGGTGTCTATTTTGGGGCCGGTGGCGCACTACCTGGGGCTTCCTTCTGGTTACCCTTGACTATTGACGCTCATACTTGAAGTGTTCTGTCAATCTTACTTCTATATTAAGAAGCTGTCCTTGGTCAAAGAAGTTACCAAGCCACGCTGTCCATTTTCACAATGTAGTTACACATATCAGCTTATCATGGACCCCAGCCTATTTCATGCTGAAGACAGTTCTCTGGGTTATTTTTTTCTGCTTCCAGAAGAATTGAACGAGCAAATCATAAATTGAAGTCAGCAAAGGAGTATTCCAAGAAAAACGAATTGTTATATTCTGAATATAATGTTCTGGGTTGTGTACACTTGTTGGTTTATTTACCACCTTTGGCAACTTATTTGATTCGTTTGATTGGGAACTTGTACAAAGACAGACCAAGTTTCTTTCTTACTTGCATGTCCTCACATTCCTCTACTTCTTCAGCACGAAAAAAAAATTAGAAAAATGGATGCTCTGCTGCCAACCGGGTTTGGGGAGCATGGTCATCCGGCTCAGATTACAACAGGTTGGCGATTTGCAAACTATATCTACATTTTTGTACCTTGCTAACAACAACAACTTCACTGAAGACATCTCAAAGTAGCATAAATGATTGCAGTGTTGCAAAGCCAATTCTCTGATGTTGGCATAAATGCCATGCCAAGAAGCGGCGGTTCTAAAATTAGAGGAACCAATAGACCCCCTGCTCCAACTTTGCATCCCAGCAGTACATGAAACTCCACGAGAGACACCCCCCAAGACGGCAAGGCCTTTGGCGACTATTCCCGAATTCGCCTACCCTTTCTTCTTGCGATCCCGTGATCACCGAGTCGTTTGCAACCAACCCCGCTCAGTTCGTTGTTACCCACTCCGCCCACTGTATCTTGTCCAGCCCACTCTTTCTCTCCCATTTCCGCCCCTCGTGATTTGGTCAAAGCCCGCCCCCATTCTCTAGTCTGGATCTCAAATCTCCCAAGTATGCGCCCGACTGCTTCCATTGCCATGGCTCAAGCACCGCCCACATTCACCCCGGACAGCGAATTTGCCGAGTTAGAGACCCCTCGATGCCCCAATAATGGGAGCCTTTCGATAACCGCCATGGCTCGATTCGAGTTTGAGGCTGGGAGGGGTAACGATGGCACCAAAATTTTGATGATTGAGTGGGAGGACGACGATCTCACTCGATCTGCGACGGAGGGATCGTGGCATGTCTCATGGGCCGGCAAAACAGCCACGATGCCCACTGATGAACGACCGAGTGACAGCCTGCGCCGTTTCTATTTCTTGCTCCCGCCCAATGCTACCATTCCTCCTGTTGTCACACTGTCATATGAATCCAAGTCATCGGCTTCAGGGTCGGCTGATAACACTGTGCCTGCCCCCGCAAGGCCACAAGACACATTCCAACTCAACCCTCTCCCCGCCATTTTTCCTCCGGAATTGGGTGCCACAGGACGAACGGCTGGCAAGAAGGGCGTTTTGCATACTATCTGGGCAAAGAAGCGCCTGCAGGTTCTTGAGCGCGAGATTGAAGAAGAATCACGCAACAATGTGGAAGGAATCGCGCTGCTCATGGCAATTCAGGAGAAGGAATGGATTGAGCTGAACTTTGGAATAGGCCCGCGCGCCGTTGACTCGGTTGCCAGTAGCCATGACTCTGCGAATTCATCCTCCGTGTATCCAGCTACACCGGTGTCACCTGTCAGCGGCAGGAAGCTGAGTGACAAACTCAAGGGACTTAAGTTGCAGACCAGCGAGAGGGATCTTTCAGGAGGTGGTATGTATTTCTGCACCGGGTTACATGTCCAGAAGCTAACTGACTTGGACTAGTTTCCCATGGAGCATCGCTTCTTTCCCCACAATCGCCTGATATTGCAGTTTCCTCTTTCGGTTCATTCCGCAATGTCGCCAATAGAAACATACACTCTATGCCAACGCCTAACACCAATCCCACCACTACTCCAAGCTCTCACGTTAATACCTCGGGCCTAGAATCACTGAAACCCGTTGCGCTCTTTCCGCCTGACTTCCTCCAGGAGACTCAACAGTCCAGCGAGCTCACAGGGTTCGCAGCAATGGGCGCGGCGATGGGTGCAATCTCGCACATTCCGAGCAATGATTCCGGAGAGGAATTGTTTGCCAAGGCACTGAGCCCACGCTCACCTGATCTCCCTCGGAGCCCCTTCTCCTTCCGTTGAGCTTGAATTTCTTATGCATGATATGATACCACACCATCTTTCACGACTTGCGCAATGATTCCCCCTTTGCGGTGCCATGCCATATTTCCACACTACATGCATCTATGATCGTTTGTCTATCTTTTCTGTTCTGTCCATACCACGCGTACCGTGCCATATTCCTTCATTTTCATCTGCTATCCTGTTTTTTTTTTATGGAGGTGCCACACCATATCTATGGATCACATATGTACATAGACGAGTGTCGGATTTTATGACCCCCTTGACAATTAAGAAGGTAAGAAGGCAAAAGGAGGCGTTGTCCAATGATTTTCTTTGCGACAGCAAATCTCCGTCTGCGTAGGCGACTATAGATAGAATAACAACTACCAAGCATAACTAGTAGTCAGAAGCATCACCCCACACATAGTATCCAGATCCCTCAGGCGAACACGAACAAGAGCAAGAGAAACAATCAGCAACTAGAATCAATTGCTCTTCTTATTACGCTGACTTCCCTGCCGACCCGGCTTACCAGCAGTCGCAGTCGACGCACCGGAAGCAGTGGCAGTAGCAGTGGCATCGGCAGACTCCTTCTCACTCTTCTTGCCAGTAGCCATGGATTCATCTTCCTGCGCGTCCTTGCGCTCCGCGTACCACTGCCCAGCCTGCAGAACCAGGATGCCAACGAGGACGAGCGCGAGAATAGTATTGCTAGCAGAGAGAACCTTGAGCGAGTCTTCGCGACCAAGGATCTGCTCGTTCTCGTCGGCGGAGGAAGCCAGCTCGGCACCGTACTGGCCGGCCGAGGCGAGGCGCAGACCCTTGACGATGTTGGCGATGTAGACTGTCACACCACACATGTAGAGGACCAGAGAGGCGCCGTCGAAGAGCATGTTTGATTCGGAGGGCTTGTAGAGCTTGGTGAGGAGGCCGGCGAGGCCGAGGAAAATTACGATGTGCAGGATTCGTGGGATGAGCGGGGGCGAGGCGTGAAGGAAGCGGAGGTGCGCTTCGAGATAGTCATAGTGCGCGGCGGGGGTCGTCACTGTGGACCACAGGATCGGGTAGTCGTATGGGAAGAGGGAGAAGATAATACCCAGGAAGAAACAAGTTGCTGGGTGGGCAGATTGGGTTAGTTTGTTACAGTCTCGTGGCCTTTTTGCCGATGGGGTCCGGGGAAGTTGGCGATGGACTTACGACAGACAATGAGGAAAGTCGCAAACGACCCGCTTTTGAAGGCCATGATGAAATTTAGAAAAGCAGAAAAGATTGTTTTGAGAGGGAAAAGAGGATGACCAGGGACAAGGCTGAAGTCCTCCAGGTGTCGCTAAGCGGGTGCCAAGCCTGTGGCCGAGAGATAAGGGACGATTGTACAAATGGACGTCCGAGTATTTGATGAGATTTGGGAGTGAATTTTTAATAAAGAAGGGTATGATACAGATTTCAACGCCATTTGCGCCGTTTCATTAATGATGCGAATAGTGGTATCTTCCAGAATATCCCATAAAATGCAAATGTACACAACAACAACAACAACAACATCATCATCATCGCTGGTATCGAGGCAACGACTCGTCTGCATGCGCCGTCCCACCGACCAGCTGGTCGTCCTCGTCAAAGACTGGCGCACTAGGCCCAGCGCTGGGTTCCTGGTTGCTGGGCTCGCCTTGGGGTGCACTCGCCTGCTCCTGGAGTCGGTGACGCTCAAGCTCTTGTTTATCGTCGGCGGATACTCGTGGCTCACTGGGCCCAGCGCTGCTCGCAACTACAGTCTGCAGGGATTCTGCAGAGCGGACGGCATGCGGACCACCGCTCGTATCTGGTGAAGGCACATGCTGGTAGTCTTGAAGATGATGATCATCTGGCAAAACCGGTGCGGTCGGGACCTCCATTGGTACTGTGGATGGCCCTGCCTCATCTTCATCGGGTGGTTGACTTGGTAAGAGAGCTTCTTCATGACGTCGTACCCGGGTTTTCTCGTCAACAGGCTCCTCAACTTCTGGAGGCGCGACCATAGGGTCCATTGGCTGGAAATGTTCAGTATATTCTTCGGGGTATTCTGCCCAATCCGTCTCCTCGGGGAATTGCCCCTCCTGTGAACCATATCCGCCATTGGAATTAGGCATTGGACTCGCCTCTGGCCACTCATCTCCATCAACAGGGTTAAGTGGAATAGTAGATGCAGGAGGCGCCGTCTGTGACATCGTCGATTCGCCAGCCGTAGATGATTTGCGTTTAGTCGCTTTCCCTCTTTGTGAATCACGCGTCCCAACCACGACTTCAAAGGCCACAGAGATCACACCTTTTTCACGGCGAATAGAGTCCGTATCTAATATGTTGCCGGCCCAGTTGGCAGTAACGCCGCTCGAATCGGCTGGATTGAGGACCTGCCCGCTGGGGGAAAATGTAGTACCACCGGAGACCATGTTGAAACGTGGGATGAAGCGATCTGGTGAAGTAATTTTGCCTCGCAAGTCCGTTACGACCTCCACATAGTACCGGAAATTGATCATGGCTCCCGGCACTCGCGTGATCGTTGGAAATGCGTCTTCAGGTATTCGGATTGAAGTCTTCACTATTGCAGTCATAGTGCTTGGATCAACGATCAATGGGGCGAATGTCTGCGACAAATCTTTGCGAAAAGTGCTGCTGGTCCGACTTGTTCCCAAAGTAAGGCCTCCAAGTCCCGTCCGTGATCGAGGATAGCAGTCTTCATACACCGGCTTTTTCCCAGCTGCTGTAGTGCCAATGGGAATTGCAGGATGAAGATCAATGCGACCTTGACGGTATAAGGTGACCATAACTCCATGCGCACTGCGCACTTGTTTACAATGGTTGATCGTAACTGTGATGGGTAGGGTATCCCCAGGAAGCACACCGGCACGCAGAATCTCGGCCTTTGCGGTGATGGTTTTATCTGAGATAGAGGTAGCACTGCGACCCTCGCTATTTTGTCCGCCCGTGCTTGCGGATGAACTGGGATCGCTGGCGATTCGAAAGCTTTGGCTGCTTTCGCTAGGCCGGCTGGAAGAGCTGACATTGCTTGGTGAAGGGCTCAGTGGTGGTCTGGTATCTACAGACGATGCCATTCCACTTATAGGAGTATCGACCGAGCCTGTGTCCGGCCCTGCGGTTGCGTCGGAATTTGTTGACTTGGCTTTTCCCCTTGGTTTTGAGCGTCTGGAGATCGGTTCCAAGGTAACTATACGAGCCCTAGGTGCAGGGAAGGGTGCAATATCGATGTTTTCTAAAAGATTGACCCGTCTTCGGCATGTGAGTGTAGGGTTCATGGTGGTCGGTCGGGTAAGGGTAGAGGTAAGTGAGTAGCCGATAGTCCCGCGTTCAAACTGCAGTTGTCCATTTGATCAGCATTTTTGAACCAAAAATAAATTTTTAATCAACAAGATCACAACAGCAAACGCACATTTATACTGCTAGGAAGCGCATAAGGAGGAAGCCCCATTTCAAAGCGAAACTTGTAGATGCCCTCCTTCAAGCGTCCATCGCCACAGAGGACAACCTCATCTTCAAACAAGGTGGCTAACCCATTGCCCAAGTATTCTGCGCCTCGTCGACCCCGCCCGGGTCCTAAGAATCCCAAGTCGGGGGTTGCTTCTCCAGCGGGAATCGCATTCTTGAATACCTTGACATAGCCGTGGAGACATACGACTATATGTGTAATACGAACGGGTCGTACAACGGTCACCACGACGGTACCTCTGATAATATCACCGGGGAAGTAGGAGCGCCATGGGTCATCCGGATCGATATAGAAGTCGGTGATGGCTCGATTCCTTTGACCGAGCGGGGAGCGAAACTTGGAGAGGAGAGAGTTGCGATTCCGACTGGCCGGCAACGTAGGTTGAGTTGGGGGGTTGGCGGACATGACACACAGCCGCTGTTCACTGCATCTATACAAAACAACGTGGCAGGTGTGAGGGGGATGGGGATGGTAAACTGCAACCGCGTCGGCTCCGATCGGACAGACACGTCGGTATAACCTTGGGGAGCGCGATATGGCGGGGAATGGTCGGACAGACCAGTAGGCAGTCGGCCTATGTCAAGAAATCCAATCAAGCGATACAACAAGTACCAATTCTTTTATCGAAGGGTCTGGCGTCCAGGATCGATGCGCTGGACACGGTCTGATTTCAAAAGTCCCACGGAATGTATCCTTGTCCACGCGCGAGAGATTCCCCGGGTCCAAATGAAGGAATTGGGATTATGATCGAGGGTCACTGCACCACATTTTTTCTTGTGACATCGAAGCGCGAAGCGGGATTTCGACGGTACCCCCGCCAGGAACTCGCAGCGTATCGGGATGCAAGGTTAGGTCGTCAGATAAGGGAGTGGATATTGCTAGGAGAAATGAAAGGCTTGTAAGGGGCCAATGAGTCAGTATCACGGGATACTGTACTGTAGTCGAGAGTCTAGAACCCGGGGGTTCGGGGGTCGGAGACCGGGTAGAGAGTGTGAAAGGCGCTGGCGATGGCGTGAGATCCGGAGAATTGTGGGACTTGAGAACGCACGAGCCAATACAAGAGGAACAGAAGGGTTTAAAGTCGTTCAAAGAGGGGGGGGAAGAGAAACAATAAGAGAGAAGGAGAGAGTCAGAGTTGGGAGTTCGCGATGTGCCTCCGAGAGGCGGAGAACGAACCGGATGGCTTTCGATTCGCGTGTCGCACGGTCAAGCTTCTCTTGGTGTCCAAGTGGCTCAGCTAGTTTTCTCCCCCCCCCTTTTTTTTAGGGCCGTTATGTGGATTAATCCTTCTCTTTTGAACTCGGTACGGAGTCAGGAGCAATAAATGTGTCTCATGTTTCACATAACTTCCCCAATGTTGCCATGTGCTAAGCATACCTAAGCTTTTTTTTCCCAAATCTTTATCCTCTTAGTTCACAAAGACCCTCTCCGTCCACGTACTCGTCTCCATAACAGTCACGTAAGATACTCTCAATGATTTGTCGATCTCCACCTGCTAGTTTGCGCAAGTACGTTTCTAGGATGTAGATATCATCAGTCCACTGCAGTGCCTGCTGTCGAAACCCCGCTAATTCCTCTTGGACCTGCTTGACACCCTTGTTGCTGAGCGAGAGGGGTCCGGAGAGTTGGGCCTCTGTAGTCCGTACCCGATCGATTTCCACTTGGAGCTTGGCCTTTTTAGTCGTGAGAAATTCCCTGTCATATTCCTCATCCGTCTCCTCCGCGCGGCGTGTGGTCTCGGCGGCCAAAGCCGCCACTACATCAGCGTAAGACTTCCGGACTTTCTCCACCTCCATGGTCACTCGGCCCAACTGTTGCTCTCGTGCGTGCTTTTCGTCGCTGCTGAAACTCCAGTACCAATTTCCACTGCCAATCTTCTCCACTCGTAGTTGACCCTCGTCGGTCAAATTTTGAATGTATTCCTTGACCTGGATGCCATTGATGGATGCAACCGAGGGTAGCGTCTTCTCTAGATCTTTGAGCGTGTGACAGGTTCCAGTGGCGCGGAGATGAGTCAAAATCAAATCTTGTTTGTCGCTCTTGGTTAATTTGGGCTAGTGGTACGTCAGTATGGAGTAGACTCATTGAAATAATCCCGGTCCCCCCCCCCCCCACGGTTAAATGTGCCAAAGCCACGTACCATCTTGCACGAACTGTCAAATGGCCTCAAAAAAGCTTATCAACCCAGCGTTTACTCATTGGACAAGTATGAGGCAGCTGGGCCATTGGGTGGAGGCGCAGTGATGAGTTCAAAGTCAGCAGTCGGGGAACTGCTTACAACATACCTGTTACGCAACCCTTGAGATACCCCTGTATGTTGTACCTCAAAGAAAATCTAGCTCATCTTCCATTTGACACTTACCTTTTCGATTCCAGGGAGTTCTTTGCGGAAATGCTTTTTCTGGTTTAACAAATGTAGTAAAATTAAAATTCACAAGACTACTAACGCTGCTTATGGCCATGGGAGAGTGAAGACAAAACTATACGCAAGACTAGATAAAGTCCGACCTAAAATGCCCTGGGAACCAAATCCAGCCAATTCCTGAAACACCCTACTTGGGTTAGACGTGTCAAGTGAGACCATGTTCTGCTGCAAAAGAAGGTCTCGCAATAAGATCTCACCCCCGATGCCAGCAATGACTAAATCCAAGCTGTTGCAGGATGCGTAGCACGTCCAAGATTGTTTTTTGGCTTGGCGAGGGCTTTCGAACCCTCCTGCCAGCCGGCTAGATATTCGCCGGTATAATCTCGGAAAATTCTCTTCCTGGAGGGATTACTCTGTGTATAGCCCAAACGAAGACCTTCGGTGCAGCGGGAGACACAGAAAGGCGCGGCAAAACTATTGTCTTACACATAAAAGTCTGACCGTTTTTTCTCTCTGCGTGCCATATAGTGGTTGCAGGGACTGGGATATGTGCCGATACCATGTGCAGCGTAGCGTGGCTGTGCCACGGCGGTACATGGGGCGACCTGATTCCCTTTCAAGTGATTCGACTGAAGCTTTGCAAGATCGTACGTAGCCTGACACAGCTACAGGCATAAAAAAAGCCTCCGAGAAAACTCGGGCGCGGAGAAATGGATGCAACCTGACACTCATCCAATCATCTTCTTTCATCAATCTCGGTGTCGAAATCGGTTGTAACAGAAACAGAACGAGCCAACTTGCGTCGTTTTGATCTTTGACGGACAGTACTGTTTGCTCGTTTTCTTCGCGCTGCTCGTGCTGCCAGTTTAGTTGTGGTGTCGCTCTCGGGTGCTGTCTTTTCATCCTCTTCCCCCGACAGCTCTTGTCCTTCAACCAGAGCTAGATCTCCGGTTTCTCCCAGTTCCTCCTTGGCCATCTCTTCGATCAGGATCCCCAGTGCAAGCAGTGCTGTCTCATCCATGGTCTGATAGTCATCCTTGCCGTTGTCTGCCGTAGCGTATTCGTAGTAGTCGGCCGCATAGGCATGTATCGTCTCAAGGAGTTCGGAGTTCGGAAGAGTTTGATCAGAGGAAAGATTCTCATGTGCGAAGTAGATTTTCTCCTCGATTGATTCTGCTGGAATGTTCTGCTTGCGATATAGAAGCTCCTCTGGACGCAAACTTCGAGCGTTTGTCGAGGCTGTATCGCGGTGTTGAGAGGCAACTGTACGGTGTGGGTGAACACCCCGGGCGTTGACTCGACCTTTTGGAAATTAAATTCCGTTCTACTTGGTATAAAACCCTCAACGAGCTCAGAAAACATACCAGCTACCGCATCAAAGACGTTGGCGCGGCGTCTTGTGTACCTCGAAGGCTTATCGTCCAGTGCATCTTGCGTCTCTTCGACTGGCTCGACAAAGCTATCTTCATCCAAGCTAGGTGACCTGGCAACAGACATACTTTTTGTTTGCCAGGAAGACCAATCAAGGTCTGGCAAATCAAACAGTGGCAGATAGTGAGCAAAGGTCGAGGTTCTCAAAGCTGCCAAGTTCGATTAATGCGCCGGTGCAACTTTAATCCGGTGGAGTATGCCGTCATCAAGTACACTCGACTTCTACATGCAAAAGCACCGGCGCTGATGAATGAATGAATTCCTATCTCCTCAACAGAGCCCTTGGGTCTGTGACTCCAAATGAATTCCATGTTGCTCAAACAACCCGGCTAGTGCACAACCTTGAGCCCGCTCCCGGCATACGGTTCTCCAGCCACAGAGCAACTGCGCCAACGGACCAGTCCGAAGACGATGTTGCACCTTTAGATCAAGAGCTAGGTGCTACGACGGAGGTATTTTCTCACAAGTCTGGCGTGAATTGTCTGGCAATGGATCAGTTTGAGGGCCGATAGTGCGTGTGCAACCACTTAGCATCCAATAGTTGTCAATCTAACATGAGGGTAGCATGATATCGGGAGGTGCGGATCCATCGATCCATCTGTGGGACCTTGAATCAAGAGGTTCAGAACTCAAACATGTTCATCAATCTTGCGCGTCCGTCAGCAAATCCTCTCACCCTGACGCGCATACACATGCGATCACCTCCCTCTCGATCTACCCGTTTGATCCCATCCCGTCAACGATCTTCTCGACGGCACACGATGGTACATTAAAACTGTCGGCGCTACAGTCACCCTCTATTACCCCCCTCCACACATTCAACCTGGATTGTACACCATATTCACACTCGTTCTCCTCTCAGCCTGGGTCAACACTGCTCGTCGCAGTAGGCACGTCTGAGCGGTCGGTCCGACTAGTAGATCTACGATCTGGATTATCGACACAAGGTTTACCGGGGCACAATGGCGCAGTCTTATCAGTAGCATGGGCACCTCACCGGCCACATCTCCTAGCCTCTGCATCGGTCGACAACCGAGTAATCATTTTCGATGTGCGTCGGGGAGGTCACAACTCTGCCATCGCTACCCTGGACATGGATGATCCAGTGGGACTAGTGGTACCAGGAACTGGATCTGCACCGGTCTCATACGAGAATCGTCCAGCCTTCTCCCGGCATGCTCGTGCACACAACGGGCCTGTGACCGGAGTGCGGTGGACCTGTAATGGCAGCCACATCGTGACAACAGGACAGGATTCCCGAATTCGAGTCTGGGACTCGGCAACAGGCGCCAATGCACTTGTTCATTTCGGCCCTCGGGTCCGTAATAGCTCCTCCTCGCATCTGGCTGAACGGGCACCCTTAATTGTGCCGAGAGGCTCCATGAATCCTGGACATGAAACACTACTGTGGCCGAATTTCAATGAACATGATGATCGTGGTGAGATATTCATGTTCGAGCTCCGCGAAGGCACATTTGTTAAGCGTCTCCGCGTCCCGGGTCTCATGGCTGGGTCGCAGAATGTCCGTGGTCGGTCAAGTGCCTTGAGCGCTGGGCGTATCAACGATCTGGTCTGGCGAGGGAATGGTGCATCGGGAGAGGGGATAGAGCTGTTCTCTGCTCACGGCGATGGAACAATCCGCACATGGGTCTCTCACGAACCGGACGGCGAACCCACTGAAACCGAGGAAGCAGCTCAGGCCGATCGCAAGCGGAAGCGAGATGTTCTCGACAAGATCTATCAAGGATTTCTCGAGCCTGGCCAGCCCAGTCTACGAATCTAAATCGATTGAATAATCATCCTCTACGCGGGAATTCGACAAGGCTTTTTCGGGATGGTATTGAATTATTTTGCATCTGACAAACGTCATTCGTAACATCATGCACCAAACAAAGTGATCTCAAGGTAAATCAGGCATCATTTTGAAAAGCCGAAAGGTCACATCAATGATTGAAAAGACCCTCTACTCCTCCTGGTAGCGCTCGATTACACTCTGGCCATACTTGGCATGCTTGAAATCGCGAGTATCGCCATGTCCAGCGTGATGATTAGGACCCATATAGGCATGCTTGGCCTCGATGCCGGCCGGCATAGAATTGCCCGTGCCGCTGATGACATCGCCGGACTCGCCCACATCCCGGGTGGAGCGTGGCAAGTCTGTTGTGTTGTCAGCGGCCGTCGCTGTGGAGGGCTTAGCGATGCCTTCGTTCTCGAAGCCCAAATTCTCGGCGCGCTGGTCTGGGCGGGGCACCGAGGGAATGGTATTCATCATACCGGCATCGTTGGGCATGGACGTGCCTTGGGCGGCCATTTCAGAGAGACTGCCGCCTTGGTGGGGGTCGTGATGAACCATTTTGGTGGAGGTGGAGGCGGTTGTTGATTGATTTGAAGTGGATTAATTTCTTGTGAAAGTTGAGATAATGAGTGATGATTGAAGAATGTGGGTTGAGCCAGCGTGCTTGGATCCAGTGAGACCACACTAAACTGGCACTCTCTTATATTCAGCTGGGGCTCTAGTCCTGTTTGACTGGTACTGATGTCACAACGTTGAGACGTTGTGTAGAGATGATGGGCAATGATATCACATGATATTGATTGGTTGTTGATATCAAGCACATAGAACACATACATTAAGAAAATTGATAGGATGCCTTCAGTTCAGGTGCAAAACCAAAATTTGTTGGATATTGAAAGTCCGTCACTTGAATTACATTCAGGTTTTGCTGTCAAAGAGCTTGAGGATTCGCAGTGGCGAAACCAAATGCCTACTTGCCATTAAAGTGTTCTGGCCACCTTGCTGGAGTCTAGATGTTCGGGATCATGAGCCGCAAATGAGGTCTGTATTAAAGTGGAGTGTTGGACTAATGTTTGATAATTCTCGATTGTGCGAGGGAAAAGGCCAAGAGTAGTGGTTTTTCTCTGGCATTTTGTAAGATTCTACAATTGCGAAGACAGAACAGCTTCGAAAGACCGTATCAAAGTCTTTGAAAAGTGAGATTACTATTTCCTTTGGGGAACATTGGGCATTCAAATTAAGACAGATGAGAAAAATCCAGAAACGTTGTGCGGAAAGAACGGGTTGGGAAAACACAAAGGTAAAGGACCACATCGACGGACAAGAAGCGAATGATGATCCAGACTCCTAGATCTGATGAGGAATCTTCTATATAATAAAAGCAAGGACGCCAATGACAGCAGCGACGACAGAGACAATTCCGCCTGACAGACGGGCGGCATCACCTTCGAACATGATTCCATGAGATGCAAATGCAGAGGCCGAAGAGGAGGGATAAATATTCTGCTCGGGGGAAACTCCAGTGGGGTTTATCTTGCCAATGCTGCTAGGACCAGCCTTCGAGAAGCCGCCAGAGGGGACAGGGGTAGCATTGGGCACATGCACAGGGATCTGGGAGTACGAGGGGCGCTGGGGAGTGAAAGGATCAGCGCCAGCGGAGGACTGCGAATAGCTGGCGAAGGGGTCTGCGCCAGTTGAAGGCTTAGCGTAGTCCGCGGAAGGATTGGCCCCAGTGGAAGGCTGAGCGTAGTCCGCGAAAGGATTGGCCCCAGTGGAAGGCTGAGCGTAGTCCGCGAGGATTGGCCCCAGTGGAAGGCTGAGCGTAGTCCGCAGAAGGATTGGCCCCAGTGGAGGGCTGAGCGTAGTCCGCGGAAGGATAGGCCCCGGTGGAAGGCTGAGCGTAGTCCCCGAAGGAATTAGTACCGGGGGAGGGTTTGGGATAATTTGCGTAGGCAGCGCTGCTTCCAGAAGACGGGGCGGCCATCGGCACATGTGTAGGGTTCAGGTTATTGGTAGTAGGAGCTCGGTACATGGGGTTCTCAGGAGAGGCGCTAGAACGAGCAGGAGCTGGGGGAGCGTAGGCGTCTGCGCCGACAAATTCGGGGTCGTGGGCGTCGCCGGGAATCAGATTGGCTTCAACGACAGGAGCCGACTGATAGACCACATGGGTCGCCTCGGCAGTTTTGTATTGGGTCTTGGTCACAGTGTGGACGACATCCTGAGTCTGCGCAGCGCATTGAGGGCCCTCGACCTGATCCTCTCCAGAGTATTCGGCTGGGCCGTCAGGGTGCACATGGGTGAAATCGCCCGTGATGGCATGGTTGTCTTCATTGTGCTCATCCACATCGTTGGTAACATCAACGTCGGTGGGAGCAGAGAAGGCGCTACCATCGTCATCACCTGACGGACCTCCAATAGCAGTGCCACCACCAATGTCAGCGTCGCGGGTAGGGGCATATGCGCGGCGACGAAACGTGATGCTTCCAGCAGCAGGACCATTGTTGTTGTTCTTCAATGATGTGATCTCGGAATCGAAGGTAGTGTGTGGCTCGTAGTGTGGCGTGTAGCTAGGACTGTAGTGTGGGTCATAGTGAGGCTCGGGGTGGTTCTCAAAATGAGGTTCGGGGTTGCTCTCGAAGTGAGGCTCGGGGTGAGGCGCGTAATGGGGCTCTGGGTGAGGCTCAAAGTGCGTCTCAGAGTGAGGCTCGAAGTGAGGCTCGGGGTGAGGCTCAAAGTGCGTCCCAGAGTGAGGCTCGAAGTGAGGCTCGGGGTGAGGCTCAACGTGAGGGCCAGGGCCGGCGGGGAATCCTCTGCGACCAAAGACAATGCTCCCAGCCGAAGGGCCATTGTTGTTGTTCTTCAACGAGGTGAGCTCGTGTTCAAATGTAGTGTGCGGCTCGTAGTGGGGCTCGTAGGTAGGGCTATAGTGAGGCGCGTAATGAGGCTCCGGGTGATTCTCAAAGTGAGGCTCGGGGTGGTTCTCGAAGTGAGGCTCAGGGTGAGGCTCGTAGTGTGGCTCGTTATGAGGCTCATAGTGCGCCTCAGTGTGAGGCTCGTAATGGGGCTCTGGGTGAGGCTCAAAGTGACCAGCGGGCGGAGCGCCGCCATGGCCAGGAGGGCCGTGATTTTCTGAACGACGGAATGGAGAAAAGGAATGGGCATGAGGATAAGGGTAGACATCCTCATGGGTCAGACCGATGGAGTGATCATCTTCGTTATGCTCGTGAACATCTGCGGAAGTCTCGATGCTGGTGGAAAGACTGAAGCTCTGTCCGCCGTCATTGCCTGAAGGACCACCAATGGCAGTTCCACCTGCGTGGGGACCAAATCGCTTCTCGTAGCCCTGGCTTGGGGCGTTGAAGCCAGCCGATGGCGAGCCAGCAGGTCCACGGTAGCCGCCACGAGGGGGTCCACCAAAGTGGGGGGGAGGGTGCACAACGACGGGAGCAGCAGGGTATATGTTCTTTTCCTTGAGATCGATGGAGTGATCATCTTGGTTCTCATCGTGGACCTCTGTGTCGAAGACACCCGTCACAGACAGCTCAAAGCTTTGGCCCTCATCGTCTCCGGAGGGGCCACCGATGGCAGTGCCACCTGGGGCACTGCGCTTTCTTTTTTCGAAAGGTCCCTCCTGTGGCCCTTGAGGGCGGCGGTGCTCAAATGGCACAGGCAGAACCGGGGGGGCAGGGTACACATCCGTGTGCTTCAGCTTGATAGAGTGGTCATCCTTGTTCCACTGGTTGACGTGCGTCTCAGTTTGGATGCTGGCGGAGTATGGACTAACGAACCCATCGTCATCATTTCCGGAAGGCCCTCCGATGGCGGTACCACCAGCCTGGGGGTGGAAGTCATGCTCCTGCTGCACCATGGGTTAGCTCAAGTCCCAAAACATTGAAAGGAATATGACATACACGTTCAGCAAACTTAGCCTGGGCAGCAACTGCCAGCAGTGCCACAGGGATTCCACCGATGAAGCCCTTCATAGCTGCGATGCTAGAGTGTTTCTACTGTAAAAAGACGAGTGGTGCTGGGCGTAGGTGTTAAAAGAGTGACTGGAAGCGTGTGCTACGGGAGGAGGAAGAAAGAATGGCTCAATGGATAGAATCTTCTGTCTTGGAACAGTGAATAGTAATTTACAAAGCTTGAGGAAATGTTCAGACCTTAATAGTTTCTTCGCGTTCATGATCGCCAGCTCAATAGGCAGGCGGGAATGTATTGCATCAACAAGGACTACACCTTGACACGAGGCCAAGCAGTGGGTAACACTGTTAGAATGTTGCCAAGAATGGAATTAACAACTCCAACAGGTGTAAAAAACGCCCCTCGATCCTGGTCGGATCGTAAACAGCTGCCCTGGAATCCCTAGAAAGGTGGTGATGTTGCATTCCGCGGGATGAGAGGGATAGATCACTACCCGGGCAGGAACGGCAGCATTCAGAGGTCAAGGAAGCCCCTTGGCTGACCCTATGTGGTAGGACATTTCGTGACAAATTTTTACAAGTTGTTCAGAAGTGATACCATTGTCATGTGCGATCCTCAAGTATGGAAGATCTTGGTACTGACCCTCAGTTGGATTGGGCTGAGCCTGAATATTTTTGTGCGCGAAAAGCATGGACCATGCATGGGATGCCCGGTAATCTCAATCAATGACCTAGATCGGAATGGCTACTCATGCATAGCACTAACTAGATCGTCCACGGCACGACAAAATGCTGCGCAGTGAAGCATGAGTCCAGTAGCATTTATGCAGGGTTTTACCCCGTACTGATAATATCTCAATATTTACTCATACTACTAGAGACGATCCTGAATCCATACTTCAATCGCTACTCTTACTCACAACTACAAGAGAGTTGTAGGTAAAGGAATGTGTCCCGTCTTCGACATTCAAATCCCACCGCCCTCACTGAAGAGGACACAGAGGAGAAACGAACTTCCTATCGAGGATCATTTATCTCCTGAGCCGATCAGTCCCGTAAGACCGAAGTCCGTAGGACCGAAGGCAACACATCGTCGTAGGGTTGTCGTAAGACAGGACAATGGTCGTGGCAGGCTCAGTTGCTTTTTTTCGATGAAAAAGAAAAAAAAACGGAAGAAGTGGTCGAAAAGTTTGCAGTCTTTTATACCACCAGTGGGGTCCGGGGGCGGATTTACAAATTTCCTCTCGGGGCTGCATTCGGTCCGACCAGGTTAACTACGTTTTGGCCTGCATTTTCAGGCTCTCACACACACCTCATCCACAATGGTATTTAGACGCGCAGGGGGGGGAAACAATAGCTTAGGATATGATACAGCAGTTCCAGGCAGCAGCATGTCTACTTCAATATCCGTGCGATCTTGACCAATCAGAAATGTGACCTAATACTGCTATGGACCAGTGAGATAACTTCCACTTAAGAATAACGATTTATCCCTCCTTCTAAACTTCATCTTTCCACCGCATCTCCAAAGAGAAAGAAGAGATAAATAGGATGACCCAACTGGAGTCAGAGGAGTTGATGATATGAATCATAACGAATCGGGGAGGGTGGGGCTGCTCGTTGCTCTGAATCAAAATTGGTTCAACAGTAACCAAAGCTTTGCACGTCCCATTAGCGTGAAATCCGAAGCTAGTGGGTGAAAGAAACTCGATGAACTCACTTATCCCCCAGCTGCCGTTCTTCCGGCGCTGGCTTTCCAACCTGCTCCTCCCACCGCTGCAGTGATGCCCAATGCAATCGCAATCATAGTCCCCACTGTCACCACAGCCACAACTGCCTTTAATGCCATCCGTTGTTTCTTACTCAAGTTCTGCAACCAGGTCAATGGTTTGTTCTCTTCCTCCCACAACTTCGATCTTCGAGGACTATCGGTTCGGAAGCTCGCGTATGGGCCCAGACTTTCCAAGTCTCTTAGATGGCTGCTCCGATTGGCATTCTTCGTTTCGAAGGTGAGTTGTTCGTACGAGATAGTTGGACTTGAATGAGGATAGAAAGGCGAGCATGGCTTTGCCCCGATCCATGGATCAAACTCCTGGCTGTGAGCCCCAGGCGAAGATGTAATAGAACACCTTGGGGGCGCGACCGTGGACGTTGGGATTTTCTCGCCGTTGGATTTGATCGATTCAGCCACCTGAGCCCCAATCACCCCGAGTCCGTGTAAACTCATAGCGACGTGCCGATGTAACTGGAAGGGAGGGTAGGGAGTTCCCAGATCAAAAGATCTTGGAGAGTGACCTCTTGAGACTTTTTCGCTTGGACTTGGATCGTTGCACAGGGCGTGGCTCTTTGACCTTTGGTGCTGGTGCTATGATTGCCTCAACGGGAATGGTGACTGTTGAGACACCACCGTACATAAACAATGCCGTATCAACCTGGAATGCGCTCCAAGTCCAGGCGGACCGCGGTAGTTTCATCACTCGAATTGATCACAGTTATAAATATAGTTATATCAAAATAGTGGAGGGGCTAACGTGTGCCGGTCAAACTAATCGTTTGATATCAAAAAATGGAATGAGTGGTGGTTTCCTCTCGAAGCGCACCCGGGCGGTTTTGGGGCAACTTCGCAGCAACAACAGAGTCTGGATTTTCTGAAAAAGGGGTCCTATGTTGTTAGGACATTCAGAAACACACGGTAGTGAAACTCAGTATTTCTCCAGGGATGCAAGGCCTTCATTGGCTCAAGGGCTGTCCTTCACCCCTAGATTGGGACATTGTGCCCCCCTGAGCATTCTCACGCCCTTTCCAATTTAACTGATCTTCTTCTCCTGCAGCAAAAGCAACCCTAGTATTGGTAGACCTTTGCTTGGACTGCATTCTTATCGGTCGATCTTATGCTCCCCTGTTCCACGTCCCTTCTCCAGAGAGTCTCAGCATGTAACCCTGTCTCCCACTTTAGTAGGTAGATTTTACCCTCGCACATGAAGACAATCTGTTGTGCGGTACGGAGTACGGAGTAAATCTCGGTATAGTAGCTCATGGGACGACAGGGGTATGTTTGAAATCGGGGTTTCTCAACAATTCCATCTGAACATAGTCCACAGGTCGTAGGTCGTATGTAGGTCACATGTCGAAAATGAAGAGTCGGTTGCAAGCTGCACGACATTGCACGACATTGCACAATCCACGCTGGCAAAGCTTACTCCAGTAGAGACGGTAGCACCAACCATAGCGATTGATGATCACGATCTAGTTTTCTAAACTCTAGGCGAGATTGTGTCGTATAGTTGAGTCGATGTACTTGCACGCGACTACAGGATATCTGGAAGCTAAAAATTGGTTGGAACACAGCTGATTTGATTACCTAGCTAAATATATGTTCTTGACGGAAATATAGAAATTACACGTTGGGGTTCTTTTGCATAAGTGCTTCTCCGTGATAGTACGTTCGTTGTAGCCAAATTATCGAACCCAGAATGATATATCTTGACGTAGTTCTTTGCACAAATATCGACCAAAATTCGTCGACAAAACACATCTGTAGCCAACATAAATGCGTCTCAAGATCATCTGAGACTTGGGGGAAGTAGTACCTGTATACATAGATCCATTCATTGGTTCAACCTGGGAATCTCGAATTGCCTTTCGACAGCGCTCGAATCCTCAAGAATATATATTCCACCATCATCATTCTGGACCATGTGAACAGATAATGGAAAGCTACATAGATCGACCGGTTGATCTTCCAATTCGAATTTACTCTGCCTGCTACATTTAACCATGGGATTTCACACACCAAGCAAATGTTCGAAGTAACACCAGCGACGTATACCTCACTGATCAAGCTAGCCAGTGCCTGATAGCGACCTCAGGATGCAACTTAGCTTTGCCCTTAATTTACTACTAAGCCATTCCTACCATAAATGTTGGACTGCGTTGTTTTTCTTATAGCGTCCCAAGTCTCTAGAACTAGACTATCCTCAACCTTAGGATTATCGCGACATGGAAATTAGTCCACTAGGGTGGTTCCCCGAGTCAACTTAAAAAGAAAATCGAATGATTTCAACACAGTAAAATCATCTCAGTCCACAGTAAAGTAGCACAATTTGTTCTCACTATTCATAGGGAGGAATTACAATACGGAGCTGTTGGCGGGGAGTACCATGAGATGCGATGTTCATCCTGAAAGAATGAGGTAACTAACATAAAAATGTGTGTGCACTGAAAGAAATGATCCATATCAATAACTGGTATACACTATGAAGGAAGGGACAAGGGCGAAGTTTACGGGAAGATGGCAAAAGATCGTTACCCCTGGATCCGGTTTGGTAAAGGCCAAACAAGACCACGAGAACCCCCAATACAGACGATAGAAGTTGAAGATTGCCGAATTCAAATATATAAATAACAATAACAGCAAATTAGTTCAGTAATAATATAGATCATCGTATGCTCTAAATCTGTTAAGGATGGTGCCTTGGGCCAAATAGGACCCCTCTTTCCACACTCTCTCCTGCTGTCAATTACCCCATCAATTGCCTTCACCCTAGAGTTCTCATCTCGTCAATGTTTGACATTTGTCTCGATTTTCTGAGTGGGCATTTTTTTGCCCTTTCGATAGGATGAATCCTCAAGTGCAATGGAGCTCGCCTCCGTCATGGGTATGGCAATTCTATTCAAATCAGTTTCCAATCACAACAGTGCAACTCATAGAGCGACTCACCGCAGGTACTTCAAGGGTTGTCGAAGGAGCATCGGTATTTGTTGCACTCGGAGTTGGCTGACTAGTCGCAGCCTCGGATGTGGTTTGATCAGCGTGAGACTCCTCGTGATCATGCTCATGTTGGACACCTGGACAGCCAGTTCCCGGCACAGCGATATCGAAAGCATATACCTCCAGTGCAAAATACTGAAGGGTCTCCGAGTCATGCGTTGACAGCGTCGCATTTGTCTTTGCCTGGTCGATAACCTCTTCATATCCGTCTGCAAAATGGTCGATCCATTTCTGTCCAAATGCAGGAACATGATACAAGCGGTGCAGGAGATCAGCGGCCCAGAACGTGTTGGTCTCAGATTCCGAGACTGTATATCCAAGACCGCACATGGTGGAGAGAGAACGACGAGTTTCGTAGCTCAGGTCACAGATGACTGTCTCACCCGTAGCATTTTCGCCTCGCCAGTGTCCGGCCCAGCCTATTTGGTTGAGAAAGTTGGCATAATATCTCTCACATAGGGAAATGAACGTTACCTTCATTGGCACAATTTCCATCCGGGTTGTCACATCGAAACAAAATGTCGTTCTTGTCCCCGTTGACGACGACGTCAAACGCACCGAGGGCTTCCATGGTTGGTCGGTCACCGAAGTACTTCCTGTAGATCTCACTCTCATTCTTCCATCTCAAGATATGATCCTGAGCATGCGAAGCGAGAGTAATGGTCTCATTGAGACCCTGCTCGATCTGGCGACGCTGGGTTGCATTGCAGCTTGAATGGATAGGAAATTGATTCACAGCGCCGGCATTCCAAGGTTGGGCATGAGAGAAGGGTTGAGATTTATTGCCTTCCGAGCTCTCGGGGGTGGGAAGAGCAGCAGCAATTGCTGCAGAGAGAATGAGGTTGAACAGAAGCATTTTGGGGATGACCGAGGCAGATTGCTTGATTGCTTGAGAACTACGAAAGCAAATTGACAACCGCGGTAGGAGCAGCTTTATATCGTTTCGACGAGGTTTTCAAGGCTTCTACACACGGTGATTTTAGTTTTTCTCAGCCGTTTGCCAAGTGTGGCTCTTGTTGTGCTCATCTTCGCGGCATCTGCGGATAATCCAATCCATGCAAAGACCCAGGAGAGAAAGCGGGATGTTTTCTCCATCTTTCTCGGTCTAGGGATCATACAACTTGCGAAGAGGGGACCTTGAGAGCGTCTTCCATCAACTCTCTCGCGAAAAAATTTTCGTCTCCAGCAATCAGCGCGGAAAATCTCAAATTTATGCCAAGACAAAGGCTCGGCGGAGGGTCGCCAAGGTGCTTGGGCGGGAGTACCTTGGGAGCACAAGAATTTGTGTAGGCGATATTCTCCGGAGAACATCTGAATTGAAAGTTCAGGCCTGCTCTTGGCGAAAGGGTGGAAAGGTCTTCCGCTTGGCAATGAGAACCTTGGGGGTGAGACGCCTATGTATGATTCTTCCTCTATATACCCAGCGGCCTTTTAGAGAGCACTGCTCCCAGTATCTAGTAGTTGAAAACTCCTCCCTTGTGGCATTTTTATTGCATCAACCCTAATTCCAAAAATCAATCACATCTTTTTCATTTGCGAAAGGGGAGAGCACCAGCCTCATCATGCTCATCTTCACATCTTTCCTTCTATCACTGAGCATTGCCAGGGTACATGCAGCCACGGCAACAACATCAGCACAGACATCGTCGATAACCGGTTGTCATACTCATGGCTCCAGCATTTACTGTATTGATGGAGAAGGCCACGAAGTTTTAGTTTCGGCCACATCCACCCCGACAACCGGAGTACCAGCACAATACACTGGGTGTCACTCTCACGGAAGCCAGTCGTAAGTCCGCAGGTACGCATCTTTGTGACAATAGGCTTACCTACCAAATTTGAAGATATTGCATTGACGAAGATGGAAACGATGTCCTAATTCAAGGAGAAGAAACGGAAGCCGAGACCGAGGACAGTCACGGTGAACATGACCATGAGGAAGCCTCCAGCGAAGCCAAACAAAACTGTCACTTTCATGCTGGCGTCGAGTAAGCTGACCAGTTTCCTTTCTCTAACATGGTGCGTTATTGACTTTGGCCATTCTAGACACTGCGTGGGTGAAGGTCAATCAGAGGGACACAATGCTCCGTCTTGTGGTCTCAAAGCCAGAGACTACGACATCCCCCTGAGAATTGGCACATTGTTCGTTGTCCTTGTCACCAGTTCCATCGGTGTCTTTGCCCCTATTCTCCTGATGAAACTTCCATTTGCTTCTATTAATGAGGTGGTCGCGACCGTCATCAAACAATTCGGAACTGGCATCATCATCGCCACGGGTTTCATCCATGTAAGTAAGCAATCTCCGCCCTGAAGATATACACCCCTTGCTGACTTCTTTCCCAAGCTATACACACATGCAAGCCTCATGTTTACCAACGAGTGTTTGGGAGAACTCGAGTACGAAGCGACTACCTCCGCGGTAGTCGTGGCGGGCATCTTCATTGCTTTCTTGCTGGAGTACATTAGCCACAGGATTGTTGTTGCTCGCAACAGCAAGAATCACTCCGCAGAAACTATCCCGTCCGAGTTCGATTCTCAACAAACACAACGGAAGGGGCAGAGTGACCACTCTTCGGACCAACAGCAACAGCCCACGGTGGCTGGTCTTGGGCACAGCCACGGCTCATTTGATCTTGCCGGACCCGACGGCAAATTTGCGGTCATGGTCATGGAGGCAGGTATACTCTTCCACAGTATCTTGATCGGCCTCACCCTTGTCGTTGCTGGGGACTCATTTTACAAGACGCTGCTGGTGGTGATTGTGTTCCATCAATTCTTTGAAGGGTTAGCACTCGGCGCTCGTATTGCAATCCTACCGGGGGCTATATTCCCTTCGAAGGCGTCTATGGCGGCGGCATTTTCCCTGATCACCCCCATTGGCATGGCTATTGGGCTTGGTGTACTTCACACCTTCAATGGTAACTCAAGGAGCACTTTGATCGCACTAGGAACATTGGACGCGCTATCTGCTGGTATTCTGGTGTGGGTTGGTGTTGTTGATATGTGGGCGCGTGACTGGGTCATTGAAGGAGGTGAAATGTTGGATGCAAAGCCAAGAAAAGTTTTCACCGGTGGCATTTCCTTGGTCAGTGGGCTGGTGTTGATGGGAGTACTAGGAAAATGGGCCTGATCATGAGAGCGTCATGGCCACCTGTCTCCTTTCAAGGATGTATTTCATCCATACATAGTAACGCGATCCTGAAGACTGAGACTTCGGATATTGTAAGCAGCTCACGAGGCCTTTTCACTCTCGATGCTCCGTGTTCAATCTGAATTCCAGGTTGCCACTTCGCGGGCGTTTATCGACAGGGTCGAGTGACGCGTAGAAGTGTTCTCTTCTGATATGCAGTAGATTCATCAGAAGGTTAAAGAGAGAGAGATACCGATTATATAAGAAATTGACTGTGAGCTCAGAAAAGCTACACTCGATTATTTCCATCTCGCGCACACTGTTAAATCAACGATGACAGTTACCGAAATGCTTGCGATTCAAACTGCTAATAATCAAGCCATGCACGTTACTCAAGATCCCTGTACATCTGCGTTAATGAACGGTATCAGTGTTGGAGAATTCATCACAGCCTAACTCCTTGGACTTGGGGTTGCGAATCATGCAATATAACTGGGTGTACGTCAGTCATTTAAGAGGAAACATCCCAGCCAAGAGAGGCATACCTTGCAGACGTCCCCTCCATCCACGCATTCAATCTCCTGGACCAATTCAAAGCCCATTCTTTCATAGATACCCACGTTTGGATATCCCTTGGAGCTCTCCAGGTAGCACGGTACATTCTCCCGATCGGCCTTCTCCAGGACATTCTCCATGAGCTGCTTTCCCACTCCCATCCCACGCGCCTCTGAATCAACACAGACGACATTGCAAAAATAGTACCCGCGGGGATCCTGCCAGATGGCTTCGTGCGCAGTTTGCTGCACTTGCTTCCAAATCCAATACCGGTGCACATTCAGCCCACCACGACCACGGAAGCGGATATTGTTCATTAGTTGGCGGAAGGAAAGAAGCCAGTCCTGTGCCCACACAGACCATGTCTGTGTCATGGAAGGTGCCTGTGGCGAGTACCACCAGGCAACACCGACCACAGTGCCGGCTGGTAGGCGGACGTCGTCATCGCGCTTGCTTTCATTTGCGGCGCGAGTGATCTTGGCGACTGAAATGGGGCAGCTGCAGTTGATTCCATATTGGAGATGCGCGGCGAGGGAAGCTGCGTTGCGTTGGATGTTAAACTGCCCGACCCTGTTATTACTTGATTCGATATCCACTTCGTTTTGTTTCCCCTTTTCTTTTTCGCAAGTCTTTCTCCAGGCCACAATGAAATCGTCGGAGATCCTTCTTGCGGGGGAAAAAAAAAATCATTCATACCTTTGATGGATCATCAAATGCCCAGCGAAAATAGGGATCGTTGGCGAACGCTTTCTGCACACAGTCTACAGCCCCAGATATGTCGGTCTGAGTCAGCGGGACGATTTCGATTGACATTGTTCCTTGTTTTTGGCTTGTGACTACGTTTTCTTTTTTTTGGGAACAGCGACAACTGTTTTAGCGAACGGGTTTAGACGTCCGGGGTACTTTTTCTACTGGCTCTGCGGATAGCTTGACACAGAGATATAGTATAAGAATGCCAATGAAGCCGTTGGGGACAGTGAGAGATAAAGACAACCGCCATCTAAGAAGAATTGAAGTGGTGATGGTCCACACGTAGATGCAGGAGAAAGGGAAGCGAAATCGTTGTTGATGGCAGAGGTGTCCGCAATCGAGGAAATATGTTGTAGAGAAAGTCACTCTGGGCTACGGAACGGAGCTCATATCGCTTGATGATCGGGGGCCACTTGATTGTCCTGCTTATCTCACCCTCTTCCAATGTTCCAGCGTGTCACTAGCCTTTCTGGGAAGCTCCACCCGGAACACGCAGAGTGCAACCAGAGGGTCTCTCCAGACCGCCGTGGGGCAGAAACCGCAGCGAGACGAGTTTTAAGACAGATCACATGGCTGGATCGTTCTAGCATGCACAGAGTACACCATGGGTATGTTTGAATACCTCAAATCATGAAAATTGTCGATCTCACACCGGAACGCGGGGGATGAGCTCGGATTGGATGAGATTCACATCCAAAAGCGAATCCCAATTAGGCAGGTCGTTGCGTCATTGGCTCCAGTGATTGTGGGGCGTAGAACTGGTAAGAGATCACTTTTAAAGTCACGTAGTCAGTTGATCTGATTGTGATTTAAAAATGTCGTAGGGTGTAGTTAATTGTAGTTGATTTGATTCCTCCAGTATCAGGCACCGTTTCGAGCAATCATATTGTCTACAGCCCCGACGGAAAATGAGTCCGAATCTTGGCGATCATAAACTGGGTAAACCCCCAGGGAAGATTGGAGCAGAGATGCCTCCACCAGACGAGAGAGATACAGGTCTACAATGATGCCGGTACCATCCAGGGTATACTAGAACTTGGCATCACCTAGTTTGAAAAAGCAAAATGGGTCCTGAGGGGGCCACTGAGAAAGTGATACAGAATAGGTTTGAACCACAGTCAAGTTTTCTATTGATCGACTCAGCAGATCAGTCATATCTATCAACTCTTCGGGAGAAGACAATGAATATATGAACCAGAGTCTTCACACGCACAGGTTTTTGTACCTGCCTGGTAGTTCATTCTTTGTTTGACATATGATCACCCCATGCCCTACCCTTTGTACTTTCTCTTTATTGATCGAGTCCATCTATTTGACGTACGCATAAAATATGATGAAAGTGCTAAAGGAGAGTATTCTCAGCAAGAGGTCTATGCAGAGGTTGTGGAATTAAAGTTACAACGGTTTTGTGAGCTGTGCCCAGTCTTCTAATATTCCGACTCCTATGTAACTGTGAACCCGTCTATCAATTCCCACCCTCAAAGCAAAAACCTACAACTACAAGCCCCTACCATGGACCACTTTCTCTCGAAGAGGAGATAACTAGGGTCTTTATGAGTAGGCCGAAGGTGAATGGTTTCATTCTTGACGAAACATAACCACCTAGGCAGGAGTCTTCCGAAATAGCACAAAGGTTCCGAAATTCCTTTTCTTCCCTTTATCAAATTGATCAACCAGGAAGTCGAATCAGCGCCAATTCTACTCCATATAAAAGGCATAAATAACTCTCCCACCCCCCGACCACCTTCCCAAATATTCATGCAAACATTACCCGCAAGCAATCACAGCTAACGCACCGAATTCGGCACCAGTGGGCAATTCAGTCATCTGCAACTCTTTCGTGTAGGACTCGTCATCAGACTATACTTCCCACACTGCACCCAGCTTCTCTGTCACCGGTCTGAGATTCGCGTACGATGCCTCGTCATGATCTTGAGCACGTCCTAGCCGATGATCCCTACAACGAGCGGCGTATTTTCGTTCTGTCATGTGTGCACGATGCAATCTACTATCTACGCCATGGACCGCATCGTCGCAACGATGTCATTTCCACCTTACAGGAGGAGATTCTGGGCGAAATCGGTCTCGCGATCTCAAGTGCGGTTGTGGAACGTGACCCCCAGTTTGAGCGGTTGTGCCGTAATCTTGAGCTCGTTGTGCCAATCTCGATCAGGATTCTCAGAAAGCATACCGACCGGGAGAGTGATGAAGACGTTGCCGATGATCTCATCAGCTGCATCCCTACCGCTCTACAACAACCGACTCAATGGGACCCAGATGTCGAAGAGATTTCTGTCGAGGAGGAGTTTGAGCGGAAAAATCAACTTCGACGTCGCCACCGTCATAGATAGGCTTGGTCTTCTAGGGAGGCGGGAATCAAGTATGGGAGCTCTAGGCCTGACAGGGGTTTGATGGATGTTCGGTTCGAGTCCATTTGCTGCTGCTTCTGTGTTCCAATTTGTGTTTTGATTTTGGGAAGACAAGTCAATGATATAGAATTCTTTTCTTGTTGCTCAAAGAGCCCAACTGATTTCTTCCAAGGTACCGTCTATCATCGTTCAATAAAAGCGCTGGTCACATGTACTTTATGGCGAGCGTGCTCCATCAACTAGATGCATTCGAGGGAGTGGGTCGTAAACTATCACAAGCAACTAATCATAAGCTTCAAGTCTTCAAATGCCTACCGGTCTCTTCGAGTTGGCGATCTGGTGGCGAAAGTTTGCTTAGGGACACCTGCGTTATTGGAAGAAGATACAAATCCCAAGGCCATGGGCAAGTTGGCCAATTCATCAAACGCCAACAACATCATATTACTACCAAGATATATTAAACAACTTAAACGATCAGAAACACTATCAAAGCTGACAATAATCAAACCGATCTAACGTTAATTAAGGAAACAACCAGCCAATATCTCAGTCAACTCTCCCCAATTTAGCCAAGCAATCTAAACGCGATTCCGTCCACGATGAAAGCGAGGCAGGAAAGCGGGCGCAGGCTCTGTGGCAGTCTCAGTCACAACGCGAGTGATGTTCACTGCGCTAGTCGTGGCATTCGAGACGACGGTCGTATTAGTGAAGAGGGCTGTCGCTGTCGTGTTGCTAAATATCTGTCGGCGAACAACATCCGGGTTTATGACTGCTCGTGGAGTCACACGCGACCCCCCTGGCGTCCCAGGGGACACATTTACAGATGTTGTGGGCAAAGTAACGAGGGTAGCCGGTGGGGTGGGTGAACCTGTGGTGCTTGTACGTTCCCTGGTGGTGGTTGGTATGAGAGGCGTCGATGTTCGGGTCTGAGTCTGAGTCTGAGTCAGGGTGTTGGTGGTGGTTCTGGTGGATGGGCCTGTTGGGCTGCCAGTTGGGGTTCCAGTCGGGGTTCTAGTCGGGGGTCCAGTCGGGGGTCCAGTCGGGGGGCCAGTTGGGGGGCCAGTTGGGGGGCCAGTCGGGGGGCCTGTTGGGGGGCCTGTTGGGGGGCCAGTCGGGGGGCCTGTTGGGGGGCCTGTTGGGGGGCCTGCTGGGGGTCCAGTTGAAGACACTCCTCCAGTAACTCCACTAGGACCTTCAATGGGGCAAGGACAGCCCGTTGATCCAGTGCCTAAGCCTGGACCAGATGTAACAGTGACGGTAGTGGTGCTGACTATAGCGACAGGACAAGTGACCGTCACCGGGACCACCGTCGTCTCCTTGGATGTGGAAGGAGTGGGGCAAGCTGTTGGTCCAACAGTGGTAGGAGTGGGGCAAGCCGTTGGTCCAACGGTTTCGGTGATGACGCTGGGAGCTGGGCAAGTGGGCACACCACCGCCGCCAGTGGGAGAAGTATGAGTGGTGCTTGTCTGCTCACTAGTAGTGGGAGTAGGTATGGTTGCTACTTCGGGGGAGGACGGATGAGAGGTTCCAGTGGTTGGAGGAGCAGGTCCGGTTGTTGTGGTAGCACCGCCAGTCGGGGAAGTTCCAATGCCACCAGTGGGAACGCCGCCAGTTGGGGTAGCAGTTGTACCTTCTCCAGGAACGCCAGGGACGCCAGGGATAGTAGTGCCACCCCCTCCACCGGGAACGCCAGGGACAGTAGTGCCGCCTCCTCCGCCAGGGACTGTAGTGCTGCCGCCGCCGCCTCCACCAGGGACACCAGGGATTGTAGTGCCGCCCCCTCCGCCGGGAACTCCAGGGACTGTAGTACCGCCGCCGCCGCCTCCTCCTCCTCCACCACCACCAGGGACACCAGGGACTGTAGTACCGCCGCCACCTCCTCCTCCT